TCTTTACTGCTCCTCTCCAGTCTGAGAAGGTGGCTGGGGCAGCCTTACAGTGCTGTGACATGTGCCAGATGTGAGCAGTCCCTCCAGAGAAGGAAGGAGCAGCACGGAGTTGTGCACTGAATACAAAGATGGGGTTTTCAGGTGTTGACTCCCATCCCCAGTTTCAGGTATTGATGCTTGGGCCAGCTACAAGCACAGCCCAGTCTAGCTTCAATCTGATCCCACAGGCAACAAGGCACAGAAGCGTGCCCTAGGAGGGGAAGTCAGCTTTGATCAGCCCAGCATGTGTCTGATACAGCGGGGGACTCTGCAGAGAGATGCACCCCACTTACAACTGACAGAGGTTTCAGGGGGATCCCCTGGGCTGATGACACTCTTGTGACAGTCTCAGTGGAAGTTTGATTTGATCTAATTAACAACAGAGAGCTGAAACCACACAAGGACAAAATGAAAGAAAAGAGAATTTTTATATATAACCTTTCCATCGTTTACCCACCAGTGTGACTGAGCATGACAAAGGTTGTAAATTCAGCTGTGAACAGAAGAGAGAGGATGAAGTATATCTGATAGCACCTGTTTTCTTACATTTGGACTGCAGTTCAGTCTCTAATGCTTTTTTTTTTAGGGGAAAAAAAAAAAAAAGTTTCTCAACTTCACCAGCACCACAGAAAGTGATGGAAGAGGAACAGGCCAGTTTTACAATACAATTCATGTTTTTCTAACTCAGCACCAATCAATCATCTATGTTTGGGAAATAAATGCAGCGACATATGTTTTTACAAGAGCACAGATCCTCTTTCATTACACAGAACATCAGTGGTGTTTTCCTACACTTTTTCCACAATTATTTTTCTGTTTGGGCATTTCTTATTAGTCTGGACAAAATTAAAAGACTAGACTTGGATTAGAGAGCTTGGCTACCTATTGATATAACAGTGAAAAGAATGCCAAGCCTTGTTCCCCCTTTTCAAGTGTTTTATCTGCATTTTTTGCACATAGTACATTTGGTTTTATATGGATGCCTATATGTACTGCCTGGAAGAAGTAAACTGTCATATATATGTTCTCCTTGTGAAGGTCTTTTCATACTTAAAAACTTGTTTTTCTGACAACAGACATCAAATGTATGTTCTTTTCTCCATGGGCATAGCTAACAGGAAAGTTGGATAAAAAATAACGTGGCTTTTCTTTTTGTATTCTTAAAGCTTGCTCATTTTTTTTAAACATATTTATAGAAGGAAAGTTGGAGTTACTAGAAGGAGTACAGAATAAAGAGTCTTTAAGGTCTACCAAGGGCAGAAATCCATCTTTCTCTGACAGTAATGCGGCATTGTTCTGTTCATTTCTGGTTTACATCTAATTCCTGTCTGACAAGTGTCCGTTTTTCATTCTCATTCATTAGTCACCCTTGCATTAGCACTGACTTGAAGGCATCTGACCTGCCTCTTATCACGTTTCTCAGAAATGATAAAAGATATCCTTAAAGTTTTACCCACCCACCCATCACAGCAAAATACAGAGCAATGGAAAGGAGGTAAAATACATTTGGTAAAAAAAAAAAAAAAAAAAGGCTATTCTTTACTCTTTTGTAGAAGATGACAGGTAGAAAATGAACTAAGGACATGCTATGAGTTCGTATAGAAACTATTACCTTTAGCAGGTGAAAATGCAACTTTTGAGCTGTTTGTAAGCTAAATATGCATTAAACTTAAAAGGAATTTAACAATGCATCGAAATTAAGCTCTAATGCCCCTCTCCCCACCAAACGCATAGAAATTCAGGAATAAAGTTAACAATATGGCATACACTGAGATTTTGATTTCCCATTACACTATTTCAGTTTTATGCTTGTGGAAATTCTCTCATTTCAATGCAGCTCTGAATGCAGCCATCTGTCCTTAACAGAGAGGCTTGCACAAAAGTATTTCAGGAGTCTCGGATGAAAGTCTCATCTTAAGTATGCTGTAAATGTGCTGCAGTATATGCCACAAGAGCCCTCTCTGAATTTACTAAGATTCTACGTTAGTAAAGAAAATAGTCTAGCTCAAGGTGGCAGACCAGAATTTTAATTCTTCTCCTTCTTTTCTTTTTATGAAGAAAGCCTTGAAGAGAAGTTAGAGGCAGGGGGGAAAACCTGATGGTGGTACAGGCTGTCCCCTGGGCCTGGCGGTGACATCCTCACCTGTGGCTGGGTGCAGGATGTGAAGGAGCCCACAAGCAGAACGAAGTGGACCTTTCAGCATCGCTTCCCACCAGGGCTTGCTCCACTCTGAAGTGATGAGCTGTGGCAGCAATGCTGCCTGTATAACGGGAGTATCGCTAATGCAATCAGGGATTATTCTTCATTACTAAAATTATAATGGAAAGGAAGTGCAGGTGCACTAAGTAAGTGTCTCTCCCTATTGAGGGTGAGGGGGGAGAAGGCTCTCTCACCATCATGTTACCAGGGCTGCTGCTGACCTGAAGCTTGAATAATTCACACTGCCTCTTCACAGACAAAGAGGTCCTGACACAGAATGGATCAAATGTTTTATTGTTGTGTTGTTTATTTTAAGGCATATTTTCTGAAGATTGTTAAAACTTTTTTTTTTTTTTAATGGGATGTATTTTATTTGTCTTTTACCATTCTGTGGGAAAATGTACCCCTTCTGTCCTTGCTTGCAAGCAATCGTAACTTCTCTGACACTTCCGAAAAGTGACAAATGTGTTTGAAAAGGCTCCCTTTGGAAAAGATCCAAAGTCCCTCAGTACATTAGCAAGCTCACCCACTCGTGGTTGCTAGTGTGAAGTTGCCGTGATGACTGTAACTGTTAAATGGAAAAGGAAGCTGAAGACTGAAGAACTGGAAGGAAGTCTTGATCTACAGAAATCACACTGCAAGGGCCATAGGAAAAAGGAGTCATTTCAAAACTCATTTCTGTCCCAGCGGGGACTTTCATGATAGCTACAGAAAGTGAGGAAATTATTTGTCCAGGCCCTCCACTTCTTCATCAGCTAAAAACCCACTTTATTAACTTGCTCGTCTTTTGCAACCAGTGAACCTTATGCCTGCTTAGGTAAGAAGTGCCCTGCACAGCTGCCATCTGTAGCTATTAGTAGGTGGCAGGGCTGCAGGGGGAGGTGGTGGGTAGCTCTGGCTGCATAAAGCTGTAAACGTGGGAGGGAGCCAACAGAATAGGGGATAAAAGCTCCCAGTCTTGTAAATACACAATCACGTACTTTTTTATTTTTTTTTTCTTTTCCAAATGAGTATCATTTACTCAACGGTATCTAATGGCTCCTTTGAGAACATTGCTGTCTATTATGTCAAGGCCCCTACTTAGCGTATTTTTAGTTTGTGGATCATTGACCCACTGCAAAGCAGTGGCGCTGCTCAAGTGCTTCGCGCCCAGCGAGGCTCTGCAGCGTGGGAGGGGAGCTGGGGGAGCCGCATCCCATGGGATTCCTCTCACCTCCCATAACTGTGCTGCGGCACTTCCCAGGGAAAACAGGCCATGCAGTTCCAGCTGCTGAGAATAAAGAGGGTAAAGTGTTAGGTTTTTTGTTTGCTTTTTGCCTTTTTTTTATTGTTATTACACATTTTTAGACTTAATGCTGTTTACTTTTTTTTGCATTAAAATTGGTGTTTTTTTTTTTCTGGAGGCGAGCATTTTGTGAGTGAGGTGATTGCTGTGCACACGTGAGGCTGATGGAAACTTCAGAGCTCTATTAATGTTTTAGGAAGGTAGGGAGGACAGTAAATCAATGTGTCAAGGAAAAGCCTCGGATTATTATCTGTCTAATCTGGCTCTACTGTATTCATCCCTCCATATCCGAACACATGAATGCTATTATTAATGGGCTATTTATTGCTGTGCTTATATTCTTCTATTACCAGCAGCATAATCACTTTGTCACTTATCCTCATGATGTTAGAGCGCAGTACATCTGTTATAATTGTCCATAGCACATATGTATGTGTACATTATGTGTATTAAAATATACCTGATGTGGAGGGAATTCTTCTCCACTGGAGATACCTGTGGAACTAGCAGTAATATAGTCCGAGTTATCGCTCATCTAAAGCAAACTGCTTTAACCCAGCATGACATGTGCCCAGGATACGCACAGGTGTCAGGGACAGACCTAATCTCTCTGGTTGTTTTGCTGTGATCCCTCTCACAGGTAGCCTCGCTGGCCCAGAGTACCACCAGCATGTCAAGGATGCCAACAGACCCAACCAGGCAGAGCTTGACATGTCATCCAACAGCATTACCAGTTCTGTCTTCCATGGTGTAGGTTAAAGCCCCCTACATCAACATCTGGGGTTAAAATGGTGGATTTGTTTGCTTATTTTCTTTTTTTTCTTATTTTTCGGCTCTTTGATATGGATTCCAGCATGGCCCCGTGTCCACCTGCAGCAGGGACAGGCATCAGGGAAGTGTCTCCAGCTGCTACTGGGGCTGAATATTCGCCTTTCCCTCTCCACCCTGGCACAATGGGGAGTGTGTCAGACCATGGTGGAAATGTGGATCTAGTGGTAACAGGAAATTCCCAAGTCCATTTTACCACCGATGCAAATATGTTACAGAAGTAACAAAAAAACTCAGCTTCTGTGCTTTAGTTTTACAGGTTGTAATTAATTGCTTTAACTTTCTTCAGTGTTTCACTGGCATAGCTTAGTGAACATAAATTACCTGAAGATGGGATTTCTTTTTCCTTTTGTTCTGTGTCTGAACATGACCTTTCACAGCGAGGCCTTGGTTCTTGGCTGGGTTCACATGTACTACCACAATATAAATAATAAATCCACTATGAAACCTCTGACCATTTAATGCTTGAATGAAGTGAAAACCTGTCTCGGTGTTGAGTGCTCCACTTTCCAGGGAGGACATATGCTATTTTCTCTGTTTAGTAAGACCTCTCACATCTGAGGCGGTACAGCAATCAAATGTGATATGCACCACCAGCTATTAACACAATTAATTCGTCTCCTTCTCCCCCTCTTTCTCCCTCCTCAGATCTCCGGAAGACTTTTGAGCAGGAGCCCCTGGGGAAAGAAGTGTCCCTGGAGCAAGAGGTCCTTCTCCAGTGCCGTCCCCCTGAAGGCATCCCAGTAGCTGAGGTGAGCAGCAGTGGTGTTTTGCCCCAAGCAGCTGGCATTTGGGTATCCTAACTGAGGCCTGATCCGTGGCTAATGGGGCAGGGAATGAGGGCATGTCATGATGAATGGGTGGTAACGGAGAGCTGACTGCCTGCTGCTGGTAGACAGGATTGATCGGGAACTGATTAATGGCTTTGGAAGCGATCACGGTGTCTTGCTGGGCAGAGCTATAGGAGGTTTGGTTTCAGGTTTTTGTTCTCTGTCAGAAATCGTAGTTATAACTGGTGTCCAAAGGACACATAGCTGGTGGGGCACACTAATACCATCCTATTATCTTTCCTTGGCCTTTTAAAGAAAAGGCCATTTCAGTTATTGAAAAAGGCATCTTTCAAACATGTTATAAAGACATTTTAATTCTTTGTTTGCTAGATTTTATTTCTCTCACATATTTGTGCATATACTTGTGTGTGCACTGGCTGGCCAGCTAGGTGCAAGAGGATGTATCATGGTCCAGTACGGGTTCCCAGGTAAGGCAACACAAGGTGGGGGCAAGTAGGGGATGCATCTGCAAAATAATCCATTTTCTTAGGTTTATCTATAGTTCTCACTGGCATTAAAATAATAGAGAATGGGGAGCCTTCCATCCACCTGGCAGGAGCAAATCTACTCTTCACCAAAATACGTGCCGCCGGGCAGCAGCACGTTGCTCTGCCTAAGTGCAGCGGTGGCTCCAGCCAAAAATGGCTTCGTCTCATTGCTCACAGAAGGGGGGTTTCTGAGTCCCAGGGGAGCACTGAAATCCTAAATCTGCTTCTGCTGTTAAGAGAAAAATTGATTGTTAATGATGGTAATTCCCCTATCTGAATTCTCCTCGGCCTTCCTCTGCCGCGCAGAGAAGGAACTGTTGCCAATTTGCATTAGGCTAAGTTAGGCTGTTGTGGCTAAGTAGCAAACTGGTTGTCACTCAGTGCTGATGACTGATTTCTCAGGAGACAAAACTTTAAGTGTTACCTCCCCAAGTTCAGGTTTGGTTGGAACTGCAGAAAAGTGTCCACAAACATTAGAGGGAATAATTAGCATAGAAGATTTCTCCTCTTTCCTTTTTCCTTAGGCTGTTTTCTTTTGCCTTTAAGATTCCCAAAACTGTAAAGAGCATTTAGGTCTGCTGAGCCAGCCTGCTGACAACCTCAATATTAATCAGTTGGCTTTCCCCAAGAACTTATCAGCATTATTTTTTCCTTTCAGATGCTCCTTTACATCAAATCAATTTGCCATTGTGCCTTGATGAGTATTTGAAATAGGATAGGCTATTCTGGAGGTGCAGATGTTTACCTTTGCTAGAAACTGAGACTGGTCATAACAGGTAGTTTTTTTGAGTATGGTGTTACAAGCACCTCCGAAATGTTGGCGGTGAGCACAGGTATTCCCATGGAAAGGTCTATAATGCCTGGTCAGGTGGCCAGGACCCAAAGAGCATGATTTAGCATGCTATGTGGAAGGAGAGCTCTCTCTGCTGTTATGAAAAATTCTGCACGAACCATTAGTACTTGCAATTGTTATTCTTATGTCAAATTATATCTGTCTTCCTTCCACCAAGCAGCTGTAAAGGCAAAAAAAATGTGCCGCACTAGCCATGTCTGCTTCCTAGTACAACATCTCCCAAGGAAGTGATCTCTGAAAAGATCCCCTGTGAGCTGCTTTCATAATAATTGCACTTTTTTCTGCCTCCAAGTATGCTGGCTTACTTTGTCAATAGCAGAGATTCATGACTCTACACTAACAGGCTCTGAATCTTATTTGTACCGTGGTCAGGGCAGACACCAATTAACACTTGGCAGGCTCCGAAATCATATACTCCCCATCTGACATTCAAAAGAGCCATTCTCAATGTTGTATTTTTTTTTCTCTTCTGACTTTTGAAGTCGGGAGGAGATCAAACACCCAGATTGGACAGCAGCCTAATACAGCCTCTTTGTAGATTCTTTCCAACACTATTAAAAGAACAAAGACCTGAACACTAATGAATATGAATACCTTAATGTGACACTTTATTGCAGCCACTTGGTGAAGCTGGTAAGATAAATTTAAAAAAATGGCAAGATGAAAGGTAACTTGGTGGGTTGAAGGATTACATGATTATTTTAATTTAGAGATGAATGAGTTCTTTGTTTAAGACTTCATTTATTTGTTCAGAGAAGTTTCTGATATGGTGGCACAGGTAACTAAGTAAGAAGGGACATGGGAGAAGGCAGGCAGCAGGCTGAGGCTTTTTTGCACATTGGAGAAAGTCTGGTTTGGTTCCAGGTAGAGTAGGGTATCATAAATGCTGCAGCTATCAGCAGTATTTCCAAATGCTTTAGTGACCATGTATCTCAGACTCTTCCCACTCTGTGCACTATGTTGTGTTTTGGTGTTGGTGTTTGTTGTTTTTTTTTGACTTACTGGCTTCTGCAGTGGTCACTGGCTTTAGCAACAAAGAGGGAAGAAAAGATTACACTGAAACTGTACAAAATACACATTCAATGTGACATCATGTTGGAGTCCAGAGTCCTGAAGTCTTCCGCTTGTTTTTTTTTGTTTGTTTGTTTGCTTTGTTGTTGTTTTTCTTCTTATTATTATTATTTAATTCTTATTAATCAATTAAATTTATTTATTTATTTCTCCTGGTGTTTCCAAGTGGTGGGAACAACCACACTTAGGGATAAATTGTTTTCTCCTTTTGGTAGCGAGGGAATTTAGTCCTATAATTGCCAGCATATCTAATTGCAGTTAACTGTGTCGAGCTGTTATGGATCAATGCTGGAGCAGTTCTTGTTATTGAAAGGCTGAAGCACATAGCAGCATTCAGCTGCTCGAGAGGGCAAGAAGGACAAAGATCGAGCTGGGCAGGCAAAGCTTTTAAAGCAGCACTTACCAGTCCCTCAGATGCACTAGGATATGATGAGCATTAGCAGATCATGGCCACTGAAAAGCAACTTCAAGATCCAAATAGAAGAAGAATAGAAGGGTACGTGTTAAACTACACCAGCCTCACGTCCTGAGGTCAAATCAAAGTACATCCTGCTTGTTCACTTGGGACAAAGTAAGAAGCAGAGGGTTTGCTTGGTCACTAGGAAAATCAGATCAGCTTCTCTGTGGTCTCCAGCCCTGATGAAGCCAGGAAGAATCCCATTTTGCAGTGCTCCAACAGGAATGACAAAATTATTAGCAATTAATCCCCTATTTCATTTAATTTGTTCTTTGAAAAATGCCAGCATCATATTGCACATGGTAAAATACAGTCAGAGACACCGAGTCACAGCAAATTAGGTCACTGAGATAGTATATAGATCAAAGCATCAATGAGATGTAAGATTGGTTAATATGCCATAAGCCGCTTGACAAACTTCTGCATTGAAATGTGTGATTTGCTGCACCTTCACCAGGGGGATAATTGCTTCTTTAATTATAATTGAAGTGTTTCACGGAGGAGTTTAACTGGAGAGCAGGGTGCAGCATGCAGTTTGGTGACCCATTTGAGTTTAAAACATGACATAGTATTTATCCACATCCACGTCTCTAATGAGGAATTAGCACAAGGAGGAAAGCATCCCTCTGTCAAGAGGCAGACCGAGGTGTTTTGCTGAGTCAAGATGACTGTGACACAGGCTTCATTGAGCTATCATTGCATGGGGAAAACCTGGTGGAAGCTGGAGTCTTCTTTAAATAGGCAGCATCAGGTGGCTGCTCCATCTAATTGATTATTAATACGACTGCTGTTTGCCTCCTTTCATGAGAGACGCATATGTTTTGCTGCAGTTGTCCCTTAATTGGAAGTTCATGTGTATGCATTGCCATGCAGGTGTGTGTCACTGAGACAGAGTTTATATTCCCAGCAGGAAAATGAGCTTAAAGAGAAAGGGAGGGGAGCAGTTTGTGGGCACAAATACTAATTAGCTGGGAAGCAGCACTGCCCTTTGCAGTGCCTTGCAGCACACAGCTGAATGCCTTCAGGTGTCAGCAGGAGGAAGATGAGGAAGGGGGACATGGGTTCATCTGTGGGAGGAGCACAACTCTTCTTCTCTCTTTTGCTACCAAATTCCACTAGAGGCTTCAACCATTGGTGCTCCATGCTTATCTCTGCTGCTGGGGGGTGATGCATGTTGCTTCTCCTGGATCAAATTATGTGGTAAGAGGGGAAAAACGCACTCCAGAAGCTCAAAGCAGCTGTTATAGCTCCCAGGACTGATTAAGGTTTATTTACCCAAAGCCTCGAGGGTGGGTGCTGATTGATGGGAGGTTTATGTCCATGGTTCAGTGTTGCTGGCACAACAGATTGATGCCCAGCTCCTACCTTGACTGTCCTGAGTCAGAGAGGAGCAGGGAGGTGAATAAGCTCTGTGGTGCAAAGGAGCCCTAACTCCTGCTCCAAGGACTGCCTGTTCATTTTGCCCTGCAGAGCTGTTGGATGAGGTCTGCCAGTGCAGGATTGTCCTTCAAAAGCACAGGATAAGGTTCCCTGTATCTATCAGTGTCTGGTCCTGTACATATCTGTTCTTTCTGCAGCCTGCTCTATTTGTGGGTGGCAGGGACACTCTTCTGAGAGGCAAGAAGCAGCTTACACCCCCCTGCTGGAGAACAGGCTTGCATTTGGGTCTTGTACTTTCTGGGAAACGCACTGATTACTAGGTTATTTCTTCATTTGTTATGTATTTATATTTACCTTATGCATATTTTTGGAAGCTATGCAGTGTTGGGGGACAGATTTTGGCAGCACCTTTTGATGAGGCTTTGTGTTTAACATTCCCTACTGGTTCATTTCTGTGGTGCAGAAACCCCTGCCGAGATCTGTAGCTCTTCAGGCAGGACTGAGTTTTTTGAGACCTGAGTTTTCTGTGATTTCTAAACCTGTCCTTTTCCTTTCTAGTGCAGTTCCACTGACACCACTGCAAGTGAGGGCAGTGCTTGCTCCTCAGTGAGTTAAGCTGTTGTTTGCTTAAATCTCACCACAAGCAAAGATGGTCTGTGGGACTGGAGAACAGTCAGGTTTCTAGTTCCTACATAAGATATTGCAATGTTCTGCATGACTGGTGACAGATACCCTGCAAACGTCTCTCTATGGCTTTCTTTTTGTGGTGAAGGTGGCTCTGGGGTACTAGTTTAGCTAACACTAACTCCCTATCCTTCTCATACTGTACTCAGAAAAAGTAGTGTTTTCCATTATACACATTTTTTTGGAAGATATACAACATGGGATATAGATTTTGGCAGCATTTTTGATGAGGTAGACGAGCATACCTCCAAACTGCTCCCTTTGAGAAGGTAGCTTCACATCCTGGAGATACTACTCTGTACACATACAGCATTACTCCATCAGGCTCTACTTTGACAAAAGAATCCCAGCTCCTATAGCCAAGTCCTCACAGTGCCTGAAGTGTGAGAGTCACCTCTGACAGCAGTTTGTAGAGCTTGAGTTCTCACCAGCATTCACAGCAGTAGTTTTTGCTTCGGCCAGGTCTTCTGGCAGTAGCCTGTTCAGGTTTAGTGCTGCTTTAGGTGTAAAGAACTATGATGCTTCCACGTTTTAAGAGAGGTGCTTTCAAAATTTGGTCTGTAGAGCACACACATTAGCTGTCACTCAAGAGTTGTTTGATCAGGCTTTGTTGGGTTTTGCTCAGGAATTTCCAGGTGCTTCTAGAGCTGATGTTCTTCTTTCAATAGTGTGCTCCCTGACTGAACAAAATCCTTTATACCTTCAGAATCAGTAAGGGGAGTTGTTCATGTGACAAGTTCTTAGGGGACAGGAAAGGGACTTAGGGACTGCAGTTACCCTCAACAACCTTTTCCCTTGTTGAATTTAGTGATTGTGAAAAGCATATACCTCCTTCTATCCATCCATCTCCCCATCACTGGCATATTCGAAGTACCACAGACTTCCACCTCTTTAAAGCAGTTTCCAAACAAATAACCTGTTTGAAACGGTTTCCAAACAGAAAATCCCCAGTTGCTTTGGGATTTGTGGAGTCCAGCTGCCAAAAATGCCAACCAACACACATGAGCTGTAGCACCTTCATCCTAACCCTTTGTTCCAAGCAGGAAAAGGAGCATAGCATCTTTTGTGGGCCACAGGGCATCCACCATGGGTTTCAGTTCATGATGCCACAATATTTGAATTTATAGCTCCATGACACAAAGTTCTGCACCTGCAATTACCTGAGAGATGCTGTCCTCCTCAGCCTTGGAAGTTTCCTCTGTGAGGCTTTACTTCCCCATTGCGCACAAAGCGAAGCTGTAATAGGGCCAGAGACTTCCAGCAGCTGTATGAGCCCCCTGTATAGATTTCGGTACTCAGGCAGCAGGCTGGGTGTATGTGCAATTAAGGAAGTGCTTCCACAGCAGGAACACAAATTCCCCATATTGGCAGCAGAAACAAAAGAAGCAAAGAACAACTGAACAAAATGTCACTGCAGTTTGCATTTGCCATCTCATTCTCAAGATGTATTTTGCAATCTCTCATTTCTGTAATCTCAGCCTCTTTGGAGGCTATTTTTTTTTCCTTTTTTTGTTGTTGTTGCTTTAAAAAAATAAAAATATAAAAAGGCAGGTACAGAAATGTATTTCCAGCAACTAGCATGCGAAGGACAGCATCATCTCATTGCTGGGATGAAAGTGTATGTTTGAAACCAGATCCAAAAGTCAAATAACATTCTTCAAAGAGGCACTCGAGTCTCAATATACCTGAAATAGCTGTTGGCTCGATAGCGCATATGAAAACTGCTAGAGTTTTCTCAGTCTCACTTGGGTATCTTGTACTCTGTCCAAATCAGTAGTTAGCTTCACAAATGTTTTATTCTTACTGCCACACGTAGGGAACATGACCTGAAACACCAGCGCAGCTGGGAGATGAGTTCGAATGCAGTCCTGCAGTTCTGGAAAGGCATGGGGAAGGCAGGGTTGCAATCGTTTCACATCCTGGGATCCTAGCTCATCTTTTACGGAGGCAAATCTCTCACTGCTCCCAGCCATTTGCATCTTGTTTGTTCTGGAGAACTGCCCTCCTGGGTGTTGGAGGGTTTTGCCTGTGCCTGCAGGGGCAGAAGGCTTGCTGTTTTTGGCAGGTGCTCTCAGCTCTGAGGATGAGACTGGGGCAGGATGGTGTGGGGGAGAGAGCAGGATCCAGGACTTGCACCCTGCTGAATTTCCTTGAGATGGTGAGAGGTGTAAGGAACAACCAGAGAACAAACATCCCATTTCCATCCTTCATCTCAGAACAGCTGTGCTTCTGCTCCACCAGCTTCTAAAACAGTCACGCATACACAAGTGTGCCAAGAGACTTAAGTACCTGGTAATGCTAGCAACTCGGCACGGCTAAATTTGTGTCAGCAATTAGCCTCCGTAATAGGTTTTCCCACGTATGTAATCGCTGATGTGATTTATGTTCTCTGTGTTCGTTTAGCCTTCGCAGGAGCCTGGCCCTGCTTTGCACGTCTCAGTCTTTGCTGTGTTATTTCACGCTGCTGCTGGGAGCATCGTGCAGCAGCTCGGCTCTGGCCACAGCTCCGAGGTGCCGCTGTCCCGGTGGCTGTGGGTTTTCTGCTCTCGCTCTCATGCTTTTCATGTCGGGTGGCATGTGGCAGGTTCCCTCTGTTAATTAGAACAAATGTGCCAATTATGTTAATGTATCTCCCGATACCAATCAGCGAATAATTAGAGACAACACATCTGTCTCTCACCAGGGAGTGGGATGACAGGAGGAAAAAAAAAAAAAAAAGAAACACACTACAAGGTATGCTGCTCTAAATTAGAGCCGTGTCAGGCTGTGCGTCTCCTCAGCCAGTCACAGGGACGGCAGGGCCTCACAGCAGCAGCAGCTACGTGCAGTGTTGTCGCAGCTGGCAGGAGCCGTGTGCCCGTGCAAGGTACTCACAGAGGGCTGAGCAGCTCTGGCCAGCCGCTAGCAGGATCCAGTTGTGCTCCCCACTTGCCCTCTTTTAGCCTCTGCAGTTGCTGCGGGTCAGAAGTTGCAGTCACACCATTGCAGAGGGTCCTTCTCTTGCTGGTCAGCCTGCAGGTGTTTAATAAATAAAAATGTCTTCGTTGGAAAATAAAAATAGGAGGAGGAATCTCCTGCTGGCTTTGTTCTGCAGGGCTGGTGTGTGTGAAAAGCCAGTTGAGTGTTGTAATTTTCCATAGCTGGCATCGCCAGGACAGAGCACTTACCCCATCCTTCGTGACGGTCTACTCTAGAAATGTCTTCTCCAGGGAAGACACTGAAAATTAGAGACACAAGAGCAGGATTTGGCCAAACCCTGAAGACAGGCGTCTTGTGGACCTCAAAATGTCCATGGTTATCCTGCTGCATCTCAGTCTGCTCGCCCAAAGGGGTACAGATCTCCAGCACACACGTGTCTGGTGCTCCTCTGGTCTTGTGTGAGCAGCACGGCTCCCCCAGGGCACCAGCCACCATCATGCAGGCAGCCGAATTAAACTCAGGATGAGTTCCTGCATTGACTGGGTTAACAACCTGCTTCAGTGAGGGGGCTGCACCTTGGGGAATGACACGGCATCAAAAGAGATCATCGCTTTTAACTTTGGTAATACCAGTTTGCATACTTGTCACTCGTAAATCACACTGTCTCACTCCGCTCTGCTCTCTCCTGTTTTGTGTTTGACACCGGATCGGTTCCCATACACATGGCAAAACAGCCCTGCTCTCACCAGTTCTGGTTACTCAAGAAACAAATCTGGCTCTGGACTGAGGTCCAGCAGTGCTGGGCACTGCAGCCAGTGAGCGAGCAGCTCCAGGAAAAAAAAAATATTAGTCCATTGGTAACTGCAAATATATACTAACAAAATTCTCATGTACATGTTGTAGTGTGTTTTAATTAGGTGACATTTGTACAAGGACTGAAGGAGAAAACAAAACATAAGAGCTAATTAGTGCTGGAGTGGTGTGCTCTTTTCGCGTTGCTCTTTATACTGATGTGTATGAAAGGAGTCTCCCTTCTCATGTCATCTCAGCCATCTTTTCTTCAGTTCCTCCCGTCAGATTTCATGATATTTTGCTACGTGAACAGACTTGTGGCATCATGAAAACCCAGATACCCAGAAGAAGAAGGAATTAGATGAGTTAAAGAAGTGTCTAGCAAAAGAGACGGGGTTTAGACACACGCACACAGTACTGATGTACTGGCAAAACAGATTTTTCAGAGAAAAAAAAAAAGAAAAAAGACATCCTGTTGTTCTGCAAGCTTAATGTTTTATTGTTAACAAATTCTGTAAGCCATTAGGTGAAAAGGATCTTTTTCCCAAGCGATTTGATGAAGAGCCAGAGGCAGTATACTGAATTATGTAGAGCCTTTTTTTTTTTTTTTTTTCCTGATATTGGCAACTCTTATTTTCATATCCTCTTCAGTTTTCTTGCAGGGATGAAAGGGAATTTAATGTTCATAGCTTTAATTTTGTCTAATCAGCTGAGACCCAGGCTGAATATGCATGCCTGTGCTTTTGTGGAGAGAGAGAGGGAGTGTTGTAGAGTGGTGGTATTTATTGAGTACAGAGCCTTCGGGTAGTGGCAAGGGGTGCTGGTGTATATACTTGCGTGAGCATAACAGGAAAATGTTGAACTGAGCCTCAGACCATGGTGTAAGCGTGGTCCTGTCCCGACTGATGTCCCAGTGTCCTCATCGTGCAGAGCACATAAAAAGGGTTGGTGGATGTGGAGGGGGCACACAGCCCTGGCAGTGCGTGTAGCATCTTCTGGAGTCCTAGTACAAGGCTGCACTCTGTCCCAGAAACAAATAATGGTATGGGAAAACAAGAAAGACATTTGGTTTGTGTGAGAGGCAGGGGTTAAGGAGCAGCCTTCTGCTGGAGGAGAGGCGAGCTGCTGGCTTGTTTTTTAGTCTCAGATGCATGCAGACTTGACCTGTGGGTGAGCAAGGAGCTAGACGTTGCCATTGACTGAACAAGAATCTGTCTGTCTTGATTATACCTGAGAGCAGTTCAGATTCAGGAAAGGAGGAAGAACAATTTCAGCCACCCTGGCAAGGAAAACCAGGTTATTCACTAAGAGCTTGCATCTTCCAGGGCAGATAAAATGTGAATGCTGCAGTGATAGAAACACAGCTTCAAATTTTATGTCTTTTTCTTCCTCCCGTTTCCTGACAATTTCTACAGCCCTTTTTGCATCACGAGTTTTGGGTTGATTTCGGGATATGCGAATGCTCAGGCAGTGCATCAAAGTGGGCTTTGCAAAAGCAGGTCTTGGCAGTTAGCACCTCTCGGGCCCAGCGGGCTGATTTTGTTTATATTTTCCTTCCTTTCATTAACTCTGGGCACAAGCTGAAATGATCCAGTGACATGAAGGCCCTGCTTTGATCCATCCAGGGCGCCGGTCCCTTCCTTCAGAGCATGCCCGGTTCAAAGGAAAGCGAGCTACTAGGTTCCAGCCAAATTACATTAGGGTGGCTCGCAGCAGTCAGCTGGGGTATAATAAGGTGTTTCTTTAGGAAGGCAATAAAAGGAACATTGTCAGAATTTAAAAACATATGTGAAACATTTTTCTGTATAACCAAGGAAATAACGCTTTATTAATGCATATATACATGGCTTAAATAAAGAAAGGAGATAGCTAAGCACTGATGTAGGCTTTGTAAGTCCCTATTTCCTTGGTAACTATCTCTGTTTCGTTCAACCCTCACTGCAGCAAAACAATATCATGCAAGTACGTGTGAGTGCACGTAGACTGAAAAATATTGATGTGTCTGCAGTCTGTTAGCGTGACCTACTCTGGCATAGGGTCTCCCTGTGGCAGACCCTGTGCAGGTACGTACCGGGTTACTGCGTTATTAGTTAAGGTGTAGAAAAGGACGGGTGAGACCTGGGCTGCTTTAGGGTTACCAGTAGTATAAGAGAATTTTCTCCTTGTAGATATAGTCCCAAGGTATCGTATTCCACATTTGTGCCTCAGACTCTGAAGGTATAGCTCAGCTATTTCTCTCTACCCAGCAGCTCTGCACTCTGAACAGGCACTGATATTTTGCAGGCAAGGCACGGCAAGTATTGGGTGGAAAGGTGGGAGGGAAGAGGGCTTAATGGAAAGACAGGTGTGAGTGCTGCTCTCCCATGTTGCTGCCACGGTGTTTTATTTCAGCTGGCAGCATGCAACAGGTGAGTCCTTCATAGTGCGACTTGACTCATAGAGCTCTCTGGGATGAGCATAAAAATCACAGGTACTGTGCTTGTTGTGGTGTGACTGCGTGCTGACTCGCTGCCTCCCCTCCCACCCTTTGAAACCCCCAGGTGGAGTGGCTGAAGAACGAAGAGGTGATTGATCCCGTGGAAGACCGAAATTTTTACATCACCATTGATCACAACCTGATCATCAAGCAAGCCCGGCTTTCTGACACAGCCAACTACACCTGTGTCGCCAAAAACATCGTGGCCAAAAGGAAAAGCACTACAGCGACTGTGATCGTATACGGTGAGTGATGCCTCGTCCTGCTGCAGGAGGGTGAATGCTCAAGAGGGACACTCCTAGAGATGCAAGATGCTTGTGTGTAATTTTTACTATAGTCCGTGACCAGACTGGTCCTCCTGGGCTGCCTGGGGACTTGCAGCCACGTACAGGAGCTGCAGTCAGAGCTCAGTACTGGAAACACTCAGGACAGGCCTGATGGCTTGGCTTTTTGGTGACAGAGGACAGTGTTAAAGGGGGACCAGGCACCTACACAAATGCTGGTTGTCTGGTTGAAGAGAGAGCAGGTGCTTCCCTTGCCTTAACACATGCCAGCAAATAACCATGGGGGCGTTTCCTCCAGCAAGAGCATCCGAGACATTGCTTTCTACCCATGCATTTCATTTTCTTGGTGACATTTTTCAGAAATAAGAGCAAAACCAAAAGGAAGTTTGTGCTTCCAGGTACTGGTGTTGGAGCTCAGCAGAATCACTGGAATGGGCTGCCCAGGGAGGTGGTGGAGTCACCATCCCTGGAAGTCTTCAAAAGACGTTTAGATGTAGAACTTAGGGATATGGTTTAGTGGGTACTGTTAGTGTTAGGTTAGAGGTTGGACTCGATGATCTTGAGGTCTCTTCCAACCTAGAGATTCTGTGAATTCTGAGAATCACTCATCTGCTTATGCCTCTTTTTTTTCTGTCTACTACCAAAGCGTGCTGTGATGTCTAAGGGCAAATTAAGAAAGCACTCTGGGGCTGCAGTTCACAGTCACACAATCTGGCTTAAAAATAAACATCAAGGGAGCATGAAGCATCAGTTAGCATTATTCTATATCTGCCTCCACAGCCCTGATCTAGTATTGAGGTTGGCCTTGCTTTGGCTGGGGAGGGGCTGGACCAGATGCTTCCCTGGGGTCTCCTCCAGCCTTGCTCTGCCCCACCAGCCTGAGCCATTGCCCCCAAAAAATCATTGCCATGATGCCTCCCAAGCTGGGGTATCCAGCAGAACAAAACCTGCTCTGACAACGCGCCAGCTGACTGTCCTGGTGTTCCTTACAATCAGCTTAATTATAGGATAGACAAGTAGGAAGAAATCCCTATGATTATCCCTAATATTCATTTCATATTCAGGGTAGCAGTTAGATTTAATTGTGAGCAGTTGCTTCCCTGAAGTTACAATGAGGGCCTTTTAGTTCAGTTTTTATAGAAAACCGGCTGAATTGAGTTGATTAGCAGTGTTTGTGATATTGAGGGATGGACCTTGCAGTAGCACTGCGTTTTGTAACTGTGATGAATGCAGAGAGATGTAGGCATGCTGCAACTCTTCCTCATTCGCATACAGTATTTTTTTTGAACAGTGCAGTCAAGAGACATGTGTAGGGGAGCAGTCATTTGTATGGTTTTTGCTACTAGAGCTGCTTAAGGCTTATGTTGTTTCACAGACATTTGGGGGCTGGGGAGTCTGAACAGTCAATATGTTACCCATACCCTGATGATGGCATTATTAAATAGAGCAGCATGGCTCCCCCTTCATCCATCCATCCAGGTCTTGGCAACCATCCATGCATCCTGAAACTGGGTGGAAAAGAAAGTCAGCATAAATTTCTTCCCAAAGATAAACATCTTCCCAAAGCCAAAAAATAAAAATTTAGTCTAAGTTCACTCTGAGCATCTTAAATATCTGTCAGAGTGGTGCTGGTACATTCATATGCACCAGCTATTTTATAGAAGGGTGAGTGAAGTTGCCCTGACATCCTGAAATCACCCTCTAGAAAGGAAGGAGAGGGAAATTATCAGTTCCTTCTCTTCCTGTTCGAAGCACAGGTGTGTCAGTGTGCACAGATGCTGGGTACATCCAAGAACGAGCTGCAGTGTGGGTTATCTCCCAGATGGATTTCATGTGCTGTCACACTCTTGCCTCTTGCTTTTCAGTGAATGGTGGCTGGTCTACCTGGACGGAGTGGTCAGTGTGCAACAGCCGATGCGGGAGAGGCTTTCAGAAGCGCACCAGGACATGCACCAACCCTGCCCCACTCAACGGCGGTGCCTTCTGCGAGGGCCAAAGCGTTCAGAAAATAGCTTGCACCACCCTGTGTCCAGGTTCAGTATGAACAGAACTTAGCCCTAGATATGTATATATATTTTCTAAACTAGTCAGTCCAGGAGAGGACTGCTACTTAGAAAAGCCTCCTTCTCTTTATTAATAAATCCAACATTTCAGTAAATGAGTATGAAATTATGTTATGTAAATAGATAAAATAGTGAGCACATTACATCAAGCAGCAGGGGATTCGGTCCCACTTTTGCATGCAGCTTGCAATGCTGTCTCAGCCCTGGTAATCTGGGGGATTTGGAGAATGTTCAGAGCTTCAGACTGTGGGAGATAAAGGTTGAAAGCTCTGGAAGAGGACTGAAATTTGAGTACAGAAAGTGACTGTGATGTAAATATATTTGCAATGTCTGTTCAGTCCAGCTGTCGCAGCAAGTGGACCATTTGAGAGACATCTGGCTGCAGATGACAAATTTGGGGCATATTTACCTGACTTCAGATACAAAGACATTTATACTAGAAAGAGATCTATGTTCATGCCCTTAAAAAGGGATTTAAATGTAACCGTCTAAAAAATACAAAATTGTTTCAGGGGACACAAGGTAGTTGGTGGCTTTTCCATGACAACATCCTACCATCTGTCCTATCATCCAGTGTCCTCCTGTGTCAGCAGCCCCACTGAAACCAATGGCATTACTGTTTGAATAAGGTCATCTTCAGCTTTTGAAGCTTGGCTATCCAAATCTGGGTCTGGGTGGATGAAAAGAGCTGAAAATTTCCTTGCTGGTTCTTATTTGAGGTGACAGACTCCTGGCTCAGGAGTCTCCATCACTGAAATAATTTCATAATTAGTTCTTTGGCTATTTCACTTTTTACTTTTGAAAATCAATTGCAGGATTTAGAAAGGTGCTAAATATATTCCTGATTTTACTCATGTGAAATACATCAGTGCCTTTAGATATTTCTTTTAATATAAAATATTTAACATTAAATATCTTCCTAGCAGAGAAGAACTTCCGGCCAAGTTTAATTTTTAACATCTGTGTTAAAAAAAAAAAAAATCAGATTGCCAACTTGATGCTTGTCTTCTCATACACTTTGAGTGCATGTAAACTGCTGACAAGTTTCTAAAAAGGGAGGGGAAAGAGTAGAAATGGGTCTGGGGCAGAAACATGACTTGTAAAAATAGAAGCTGGCTCCATTCTTGGTCAGGTATTGGTATGACTTAGGGTCTCCAGCACTGCTGGGATGGCCGAAAGCTGTAGTTTGGGTTATCCTCCTAATGCCTCATATCCTTTCCTCATCTCAGTGGATGGCAAGTGGACGTCCTGGAGCAAGTGGTCCACGTGCGGCACGGAGTGCACCCACTGGCGCCGGAGGGAGTGCACGGCCCCAGCGCCGAAGAACGGGGGGAAGGACTGCGAGGGGCTGGTGCTGCAGTCCAAGAACTGCACGGACGGGCTCTGCATGCAGGGTAAGTGCTGCCATGCCGGCTCCGGGGTCTGGGAAATATGTGGCTGTGGAAAAACCTGCTAGGTGTTTTGTTATTAAATGTCTCCTGCTAGTTGGAGCTGCTGTGTCATCCTGTTATTAGGAGATTAATAGTATTATCAGTGATGTGGCTCCAAACAGACAGCAGCAACCCACTTGTGATGCTGCGTAACTGTGCTGCCCAGGTGTTGTTTGTCCTGGGGAGGTGCAGAGCTCTGTCACTCACTGTGAGATAAGATCTGGGGAAAAGATGGCACACGAATGGCAGAAAAAGGTACACGTGCACCTGGACCACAAAGGGAAGCAGTCTATGTAACCATTTCAGCTCCTGCATTATAAACCCAAGCCTTTAACAAGAATGGTGCTTACGATCCCTTTCTATTCCCTACTTTATAGCTGCAGGTCATAAACTGTTCTCTTCTGAACCTCATTTTTCCTTGGCCCATGAAGAGATGCTTAAGTGGAAAAATACAGGAAAGCTCTTTGTGCTGTTCTTCCCCACCTGTCATACACAAACTTGCCAACAGCCCATACTGGCTAGCAATATCTAGAATAAAAGTTGATCCCACGCAAGAAAATGTTCTTCCCTTCCTCAAGTCAGATATTCAATTGTGGCACACAAGATCTTTGAGCCTGTGGAGGAGAATCATTTTCTTGAAGTCTTCCCTTGGAGCCAGTACTGTGATTCTGACGTTTGTTTACAAAGAACTAGTCTTTCCCGTCCCATCATAAAAATGAAGACACTCCTTTCTGCTGGTGCATTGAAACTTCCTTTAGCATTTTGTTAGCAAAATAGCCTGAGCACAGTAACAGTCATCCTGTCTCTCTGCAGTACATCGCACTTCTTCCTTCTCTGTTGAGCCTCAGCTCTTCATTGCACAAAGAGTTGTGGTTGTCACCATCCAGTATCTACGTGTCCAGATGATAAAATGCTTTTAGTTTTTCCATGAAACAGGAGTCAGGAATTTTTGTGCTCTCCGACAAGTTACTTGTGACTGAAATAGTCAAAATGTCACCGAACTGACACCATTAACTACTCAATAGGTTTACCTCTTGAATAAGTGCTGTGTAGGTGCTACTGTCCTGGTGGCAATCTCTCAAGCTAGCCTATGTCACAGCATTTTGCTCTGAGGTTTCCAGATGTACAAAAACCACTTTTCCACTGTGGCTTGCACAAACACTTTCACCATGTTAAAAACTACTAGTCAATGTCAACAGCATAAAAAAAACTATAATTCTTCAATGTTTGTTTTTATGGGGAAGATAGAAAGATTCAGAGCTCCTCTCTTTTTATTTTCTAAAGATAAGAAAAAAAATCCAGCCACATCTTATTATAAAACACCTTTGTGACTTTTATAGTGAGGAAGCTAACGTACCCCCTAGCTCCAGTGGTATGAATAAGTCATTATGGTAAATTAGGAAGAAAAGATACATCCCCTCTACAGAAGAGCTCTTTACTATCAGTTTATATTTAGACAGGTGTATGTCATCTTTGTGTATGTGCATAAAGAGAGCCATTTAAGCAGAAATCTGGTGGAAGAATAGATATAATGGTACAGCAGAATAAAAGCCCTGTAGGGATCTCATTTATCTGTTGATGGTATATTGCATTTTATTTGTGAAAGTGGATGCTGAGTATAAAGCAGAGATCTGCAGTGGGAGAGAGGGTGAGGCTATAGTGAATCTTATTCTGCTTCATATATATGTATATAAAAAATGGTAATGAAAAATATACAGTCACATATTGACCCGCTTGGCTCCAGGGGCTGTGATCATCTTTCAGTGTTGGAATTTAATGGCAGTGTTTTAATGGTGTCTTTATACTCGTGGGGCTTCATACACCTGTAAAACTTACAGTCCTGCTCCCTGATCCATCACTGCTGAGAAGATTGATTTGCTGTACTTTATGGCAGCGTGCCTGCCATTCCCTCTCTTTCTTTCTTACTTTCATTCTCCCTTGCAGTTTATGCAAAGCCATTCTGACCACTTTGCATTTTTGCTGGTGTGGGTCTGGATTCATAGCAGATCTGCCCGCTAAGCTAAGAGTGAACACAGAACTCTTTTCATTCCTAAAACACCACGTATCTTTCCACATTATTTGAGGCTGGCGAGGGCTGTCCTGGAGCTGGTATCTCTCCCAGTTTGGGGATCTCTGGATCCACCGCAGACTTCAAAACCTTCATGCTGGTGGGTCCCCTGTGGCACAAGTAGAGCCACAGCCACCTGCCCTCTGTGGCCATAGCCCTCCAGGAGCTGTGCTGGCTGGCTGCTGACCTGCCCCACGGCCAAATCCTGCCCCTAGGTGCCTTGGTGCTTCCTCATCAGTGTCAGAATTTAGTGCCAGCTTGAAGGTTAGCTCTCACGCTGTGGAGATGTAGCTGGGATCAAAGAATTAGTAGATGCCCTCTCTAACCACTAGGCTGTTGCTTTGACAAAAACTCACTTGTAAACATATATCTCTATATAGCTGTATATAAAAGATATCCTGGAAAACACTGGGCTGAATGAGTCTAATTTGCAAGCCCTTTCTTTTCCAGTCTATTATTCACTATGGTAGCATCAGCTGGATAAATCAATAAGCTCTTTCATCAGACTGCCCCTGCTCCAGCAAAGAGCAGCAGTCTGCACCACTATCGATTTCTGTGGGGATAAAAACTGTGGAGCTTTCTCCATCCCTTGTAATTACAGTATTTTACACCCAAAGCTTCAGTTTGTGCTTACCACTAACTGTGGCATTTCTCGTGCAACTCTGCTGTCACATTTATTCAGACTAATGATCTTGCTAGTACACACATACACTCCCTTATTCAGTAGTTAGTATTTTTCTGTTAACATGAAAGGATGAACAGTCATTAAACTAGAGAGCCTGCAGAGAGGCAGAAGGCTGAACTGAAGAAGAAAAGCAGCTCTAGTGAAAATTTAGGGCGGTCATTACTATTTTAAGTTTCCAAATACACAATATTGCCTAGCAGGTCCTGTTATAACAATTTTGTAATTCCCATAATAGCATTAGTACGATCTTCTGGAACAAAATATGCTGTAGGTGTAGGAAGAATTGGCTGGTTACCACCCCCACTAGTTGCATTATTGCCTCCACAGTTGCATTATTTTCCATTTGAAGTCTGCGAACTGCGGTAAATACTTTGGTGCAATGAGCAACACTTTTAAAGGCACACACTGCATCTCACAGGGGATCTCTATATGCTGGATTGCTGCAATTAGCCCTCTCCTCATCCTGTTTAATGACTTGTGGGTGTTCTGTGCGGACACCAAGCAAGCACAGCACTGCATGGCTGGCTTGCGTTTCAGCACAAACAGTTCCCTTCTGGGGATCACATTGGCTAAGATCAAACATATTAGCTGCTGTATCAGGCATGTCCATGCTCAGAGCATGTCACCTACATCCTCTCTGCTGAGGATCTGAAGTGACAGTGTTCAAGTCTCTTTTCTCCCTGTCCTGAATAAATAAGTTCAGAAAGCCTGTAGACATGAGCATGGTGCCTGTCCGTTCTAGTAAAGCATGTCTTTTCTGAAACCATGCCTCTGATGGACGAGTTGGCACCAGCATGGTCAGTAGATAACCAGTGTCCCTTTCTCAGCTTTCACAAACCACTATGGCTTTTCATAAAAGGCTGGCTAAGCTGTGCTTTCAATTTTCTTTCAAAACAGCGTTAGCTGTCTTACAGCAGCAAGGTAATACTGAAGAAGCACATGCCACTTGAGGACTATAGAATATATAGTTCCGTAAATAGTGCTGTCGTTCTGTGTAGTAAAAACCGTTCACTTTATACCATCTCGTAATACGAAGTACAAACCCATCATTTAATAGGGCTAAAAGGAAATCTCCACTGGTCAAGTGTAATCAGATCCAATGTAGGCTTTTCCTTTGGATTTAAATAAATTAGCATGAAAAGGTTGAGGCTGGCTACTGTCAATTAAAGAATGGAAGAAAAGATTCGAAACATCTTCATCTGTCAGTATGGGCGATCTAAGTGTTGGATACACCACTTGAGAAAAGGCAGCTATAGCATGGCGAAGATGCTATTATCGGACCTATTTTAACATTTCATGTTGAAAAAGGCTGCCTACTAGTCGAGAGTGATGCTTCTTTTAGTTGCCTCTGTTACTTCTTTAGTTGCCAAATCCTTTGTAATCTTTGTCTGAAAGGCAGGGTAAGGTTCCTCTTACAACAGTAGTGACTTAAGCACGTGAAGAAGATGCAATTTGTCCTGCTGGTGTGCTAAATAGTTAACTACTGCCATTTTCCAGTCTCGTGTTGTTTATACACAGGTTTTAAGTAGAAAGCAAGGTTAACCTGATACTAACATCTCTTTCTTCCTGAAACATACATATTCTGCACATGCCCTGCTTGTTTAATTTAACATGCCAGAACCTTCTGATGGGATAAGCATTCGTTTCCCTTTTTGGCTTGTTTTGAAAGCAGGCATTCAGCGAGGAATTACAGAGCAGAGCAGTTTGATGAGGACCTCTGGTCCTCCAGAGCAGATTAGTGTGCAAAGAGCAGGGGAATGTTTTTCAGGCTCCGGGAGGTAAGCAAAGCTCTCTCAAGGGAGATTGCAACAGAAGCCTGTGTGTGCAGAGGAATGAAATAAAACCTTTTATTAAGAGCATGTGGGTCAAGAGGGAACTTATAATACGTTCAGTCTGTCAGCATAATGATATATCCACCTGGCCCGTTGTGCTGAGCCCTTGCGGGGGGAGTTCTGTTCATTCAAATAACGCATCTCGTCTGTTCCTAGAGGAAGTTTTCTACAATATTGTTATTTGATATTAATAAAGAGATGTGCTATTCTATTTTTAACCCAACTACTATGTAATGGTGTAGCAGCCAAGGGAGTTTATGCATACATCTCAGACTTACAACTCCTATTTATTTTTACTGTAGCAACATGAGAAATCCCTAGCTGAGAAGTGTCTACACTCTGGGCCCTCTGCAACTGCCTAGTGAGAGTTCTTGCCTAGAAAAGCTTCTGCTCAAAGCAGATAAAAGCTTTGAGAGAAAACAGAAGTGCAGAGCCACAAGCAGAACCCAGGACACCAAAATCTCTGTTTCTTACCCCAGTCACTTCAGAAAGAGTCCCCTCCCCATTAATTTTAATGTAAGGCAAGTGCTCTAAGATTTCTAGTCTGTTTTGAAAAATCTCGACTAATTCAAGAATATTATAGCCGGGCAGAAAAGAAAAAAACCCAAACCTCATCCACCCATACTTTTATCCTTATTTCCCTATTTTTTTTTGTTTTTGTTTTTGTTTTTTTCTTTTATTCTTCCCGTATTCCTTCTTGAAAGAAAAGCACAAACTTACAATAAAATATACCTGATACATTAACTTCATCATGGAAAAAAATACAGTCAGTGACTGTAATCAGTGTTTATATTTTCCTCACTGTGTACAAAGATGGGTAGATGTGATGATTTTTGTATTCCTGGCAGGGTGTCAGGTGTGAGGTTACACAAGCAGCCCAAGGCTCATCAGGGAGTCAGTGACAGGATCAGGAGTAAAACTCAGAGCTCTGTTTCTAAATCTGTATGCAACTTAAAGGACTAACAAAAACATTGGCAGCATACTTAAATGAAACCTCATGTCAGGGAAAGAAGTTTCTATAGTTTGGGAAATAAGCCAGAAAGCCAAAGAATACAAGTTACCTTACCTGTGAGCTTACTGACCTACCAAGGATTTTGGTATGTCATTGAACATCCATTTGGATAATTCCACAAGCCTTTTTTTCCATCAGGCATAACAGTTTTGGTCCCCCTCTTCAAGATGCCTTCCATCTGTCCCTTCCTTCACCACGCTGTTTGCCATGCACCCCCTCTTCAGGGCCACTCCGTGTCCTTCTTTCAGCTCTCCCTGTAACTCATTTGCTCTTGGCCAGCTACTATTGCAAAACAAAGCAAACCCCAGGAAGTCTATTCAGCCACTGCAAATGTGGAATTTGCAAATACACAATCTAGCAAATCGCAATGCTAGACAAGTGTTTACTTTTGCTGTCAAACATCCATAACAAACACAATGTTAAGGTTCCGTGGTTCTAAGATATTAAAGACTGACATAAGATTTAGTCAAAAGGTCAAAGTCCTTAACTGTAAAAGATTGCATAACGTCAAAATTGCCTGTTCTAATCCACATCAAATTTTAGCAACAAGTTATCTTACTCTTCCATCTTCCCCCACCCCCGTATACATGGCATGCATGTTTAAACTAAGGCAAGACCTTTCTAACAATATTAGCAAAATGTCAGGAATCTAATTTGCAATGAAAACATAGTTTCAATCTTAATTATAGAATATCATGCACTTCTGTTCAAGGACAGAAACAGGAGAGACTCCCCATTTAACCTACACACTCAGGAAAGATCTGAGATTATACCCGAGTAAATAATCAGTCACAAAACCTCAAGCTCCTTGTTTATTAGCCCACCCTGAACATGCCAATAATTAGTCCTTTAGAAAGAAAATAAATTACTGTGCATTATCTCCGGGATGCCTGATATCATATCTGACCTTCAGCATCATTAACTGCAGACATGAAGGTCTTTCTTTAGAATAGCAAACATAGGAAGAAGCTGTGCACATTCTGTCTGAGGGATTTTTGCAACTCTGGGGACTTTGTTGTGTGGGGGTTGTGTTTTTTTCTTTTCCTTTTTAACCACCATAAATAAGATATTAGATATGACATTTTCTTGGATATGTGCTGGAGCTTCTGGGAAATAGCAGGGGAGAGAAACAATTAACAGCTATTATAATCCAAAGATTATTGTTAATATTTCTTCCGTAATAAATCAGTATTAACAACATGTTAAGTGGACATGAAGGCTTAGTCCTAAGCAGTAAAAATGTGAGGTTTACTCTAAGTTTATTTTTGTACTCTTAACTGCACCTTTGTAGAAAAGGAACTGCTGGCAGTTTATGCAGTTGTAGTCTATGGACAGTGGGACCTGCAAGGAGCAATTCAAAACTCCTTCATGTTGAATAAAGTCTCCTAAATTCCTTCTCCTAACTTCTTGGCCATCATAGGGACTGTATGGAGACCTACACAGTTGCAGTGCATCTGAGTTAACACCATCTCTTTTGAAAGCTTTGAGCATTTGTATGCCGTATTTATCATCTAGAATTTGCTCTACAAGTAATGGAGAAACTCAGCGGCTCGGAATTGCTTGCTGGAGCCATGGCGAAAGAGAAAGGATACTGATTTAGCACTGAAAGACCTCATAGTGAGAATTAAGAACAGAAGCAATCAGATAAATATTGTTTGGGACTGGTATATGAAAAATGACCTGCTTGCTGGCTTTGAGTTATTAAATATTGGAACTCATCTGACGTGTATATCTGTACGTACATGGTACAACCCAGCAAAGGGCTGTTCCACTGAACTCATGTCACAACGTGTGCACCACGTTTCTACTTTAAATCATCTAAGAACTGCTCCTGTCCAGTTTTAGGTCTCTGCATTTGAGGAATTAGTTTCTGTTCACTTGTCACAGCTCTGTGGTGCAGAGCCTGTTGCCACCAAAGCTTATTACAACCTCGCGGTTGCCACGCTGAATAAACCCACCAAACGAGAGAAAGAAAGTCAGCAGTTGAATTGAGTGCCCTCTTCTTTTCTTATATGCAATTTAAGGGCTTTGACTTTGGAACCAAAAGGGGAAAAAGTGCTGTTACTGTATATTATGCTCAACCTGACGAGTTCATTGCAACAGGATAGCGTGGAGACACATCATGTGGCTAGGCTTTCAAAAGGGCCACGTAATTATGTGACCTCAGCTCCTTTTGAAGCTGTGTAGAGGATAAAGTAAAGAGCATTTATAGATTAAAAGCAAGTGGTGCCAGATTAAAATATTATGCATTAAAGAAACAAGCAGTTATGGTGTGCTTTATGCAATCTTCACTTTATTAAATGAAAGTGCACGTCTCAGACTCTCACTGACCTTGATACAGCCTCAAAATATGTATCATTAGCTGTAACCTCAGCAGCTAATGGCATAAAGCAATTTCTTTGTAGGATAATTGTAAATATTTTTGTAAATATGACCAAAACTGGACAAGCCCTAGTATCAATGTGCCTGGAAAGATCACCTTCAGCTACTCCACTGTCTAACATACCTGCAGGGGAGAGAGAAAACAGTGACAGAGGCAACTGGAGAAAATACATGGGAAAAATGGAAAATGCATTTTATCATTATTTTTTTTTTTTATAATCTGATCCATTTTCTGTAAAACAGAAATTCAGCATAACGTTAAAGCTAGAAACATCTAAGGACCAAAAAGGAGAGCCAGTTACAAAGTTCCCTCTGCAAGGAGCTATGGTGTGTTGCTTTATGCCACAGGGAGGAAAGTTGTCTTTAAAATAAGCCAGTTCCCAAGCCAAGGAGTTTCCAGGTAAAATAAAACACAGGATTTTGGGATGTCCATGGTCATGGTGCTGAGTTTGCAGCTTCAGCATCATGCATATATGCCCATTAATATTTTGCGAGGCATATACTTCTCCAGGTTGGGGACGGAAAGCATTTAGAAAAGTTGTTTTAGTGACTATTTGGTGACACTCTGCTTCAATTTTGGCCTCAAAGGAGGCAACACCATAATCTCTGACCAATTATCTTTCATGTGTCGGAGGTTCTCCATTCCCAAGTGCTTCATTCCTACCCCCTCCCTGGGCAGAAGGGTTATCTACTTCTCCCAGCGCAAATTGCAGTAGATGAATTCTTGCTGTAGAAAGGGATGTTCTGCTTGTCAAAGCTAACCACCTAAGCCAGATGATCTCACACATTCAGATAGCCTGAAGGCCATTTAGTCCCCATGATGTGCCATTGAGTCTCCTGTGGTTATTGGCACAAATGGGTTTCCAAAAGGTCAGAGCAAGACATCTGGGACCAGAATGCTCAGGCTGAACTTCCAACACTTAGGGGTCATCTGTGCCCACAAACGGCACTGAACTAATTAAATGAGCTTCAAAAAATATTTAGTTAATTGGATGCAATTCCCCAAATCAGTGCAAGTGTGACTGATGCTGAAATTGAGTTAAACCAATTTGATAAAAAGCCTGCTGAAGTCCTTTCTATGTATCAAAGTTGAACTGGCTTATCTTTCCAGTACACTCTGACCTCTGACACATTCACCCTTCGCCAATTTTCTCAGTGTGTTACATCAATATAAAGGTGCTAAAATTGCTGTAGATGTTCTTTTTAGAAAGAGAATAGCCAGTGCCAACATAATACATCTCTGTAATAATATATCTGGATTTGTACAAAGCATTTGTGCCAGTGTAATTACTTGAGTTAAAAAAGCCCACCTTTAACACTTAATAGAAGCACTTCCACAGGGACAAAAAATGTATTTACAAGCTTAAAGTGGAATATAAAGTAGAACTCATGGAGAAACATCAACTTAATTAAAGGCTTTTTCATGAATGTATTTAATGTGCAATTACAGGGGTGCAATTTCTGTGCATAGTCCAAGCCTCCCACTGATTCTCCAGGTATGACATAAGGTCAGGTACTTGTAAAATGAGGGAAATAAATACCCACTTTTCGTAAGCCCCTGAGATCCTCAAACAGAAGGGCCTATGCAAGTGTAAAGTATGATTATTACTATTTCACTCGTCCAGCACTAAGTTACACAACAAAACATCAAAAGCCCCTTTGAAAATGTACATTTCCCAACAAGCTGTAGGAAGAAGCTTAAATTACTTTTCTCAAAGCAAGTAGCTCACTGTGAAGCCAGCTGCTCTGCATGTGAGTCAGCAGCCTCAGCAGCCTTCCTAGAGTCAAATCCAACAGCACCTTTCTAAACTCACCCTTGTTAAAAAATTTCATGATCCTGGTAGAAGTCCCTCAGGCATTTGCCAAGCAGTGCTGTTGATACAGGGAGGGAAAAAAAAAAAAAAAAAGAGGAAAAAATGTCTTTTTTTTTTTCTCTTTGAAGAGAGGAGGGGAGTCATTCTTCATTATTTCAGGTACTAATCCCAGCAGGTTTGCATCGTTATCTGACGAAAATGTCCTTTCTCATTGTTTGAAGGCATAGTCAGAGGGACCAGCATGAAAGCCAACTTTGTAAGGCAATGCCTGTGCTCTGGCGCCAGGAGCATGGCCATAGCCCAAACTCCTGCACAGCCACTGCAGCTATGCGTGGCCACAAGCCTTCCGCTTGCTGCTGCTGCTGTGATGCCTGCTTCCCTTTGGAACAGCTCTTTCATGACAATGGAGCATGTAAAAATAGTTTTATTCTGAAAGCTCCTGCCCAAATGGCAGAGGGTGTCTGTAGTTGCCTTGTTTGAGTCATCTCCAACAAATGTGTTTAATTTGCAAGTACAACTGGAGGTGGCATTTGGCATGCTGGCCAGCAATTCATCCAGCTTGGATGTCAACCCGAGGTAAGGTCTCCTCTTGCTTCAGCCAGGGGAGCCTGTCCATGCACTGTGAGCAAGTGGGGTCGTGTGGCCTCCACCGCCCATCTTGTGTAGTGCCATCACCTCAACAAGGACTTTTTACAGCTGGCACTGCCCGGTCTCCAGCACGTTTGGTCACCTATTTGTCTACAGCCAGCATGGTCAGCAGTGACTCTTGGCCCTTGACAAAAAATTGACACATCCATGGCTCAAATGCTCAGCATGGCATCTCGTGCCCGTAACCCTATAACCTCATCCATGCCGTCCTTCTATGTAGAACAGGTGTTTTTCAGGCTGAAAATGTGTCCTTGCAAGCACCTGTGCAAGCCAGCCTGTTTGCACCGAAAGAGGTGGTGGGAATTGGGTGCTCAGTTCAGTTAGCAGCACACATGGGAAAACAGGAATGTCAGCTTGTGAGGCTAATGGAAGCAGAAAGCAATATCCTGGCCTTTTCCTCCCTTTCTTCACAGATGTGCTTTGAATACCTACACAAGGCATTTCTGTTGAAGGAATTGGTATCACTCTTATGCAGCTGCAAGACTGGTCTCTGTGAGAATCAGTGTGAAAATCTATGCAGAATTGTAAGATACAAGTATTTGTGACAACGGGGTCTATGAAGAGTTTGCAAATTCTTTTAGAGTACTTTGAGACGACGCTTGCTCACTTTGCTGAGAAGACCTGAACTTGGACTTCCTTTGTCCCAGGAACAGACAACACTTTTGGTAATGCTGGAGCTAATCCAGGCAGTGCTGCTCTTTGTGCCCTCTGAGTGGCAGCTACCAGATTGCTCTGCATGCAGCAGGAATGATGCACAACCTCAACTGCAAAATTTGCCAGCTGAACAGCAGCAGCAGGACAGGGGAATAGCCTTTCCAGCTCTGCATGGCTGAACTCAAGCTCTGCAGGTGATGCAGAGCCAGGAGACATGTGCTGCCCCTTGCCTTCTTCCCCTAAAATATGCGATGGGGCACAGGAACCACAGGGATTTCTTGGTGAATTCAGGTATGAAAACATTTGAAGTTGCAGCCAGCCTAAATTCAGACTTGTCCTTGTGCCTTGTATTTCCTGCTGGCTGCCTCCTGGTCCCCAGAGGCATCTTGACGTAGGAAATATTGTCCATAAGGTTATAGCTGGAATTTAGGTTGACTAAATATGGGCCTCCGCATTCACCTGGGGAGTAAGCGGGGAGTAACCAGTGTGCTGTAAATTCACACCCAGACTTGCTGAGCATTCACTCAAGCCCTCAGAAGTTGCTTGCCTGACTTTTTATGGGCAATGCCCTGAGCGCACTGGTAGAAGTGGGAAGCAGTTATTACAAAAGATTGAGAGAGCATGCTGAGAGTACACATAGGTGAGCTTGCTTCAACGAACCAAATAAATGAGTGTGAGACCATAATATTTCTAAAAGCAATTGTAAGGCTGGAATCATTGCTGTGAAATAAAGTTTTAAATAGATATTACAGGCAGTATAGTCTGTCCCATAATGCCTCAGAAAAAAACATCACCATCAAAAAGCTGCTCTTCTTGCTCTGATATTTCAGTCGAGGTAGCATTTATGTGATGTCTGGAAACTTTGGGGGGAGTTATGTCTATACCTGCAATTGGGATAGGCTGTATCTTCATTAGCAAGCGGTGCAGCCAAGCGGGAGGAGATATATAAAGCACAACATATGCTGAGCACCCAATCTCAGCATTTCTGGGAGATGGGGATTATTGCTCTGGTTTGCCTCTAATGTGGTCATGTGCATTAGGCACGCACCAGGAGTCCATTTTCCAGTTTTGTTTCATCTGCAGGAGGCCAAGGCCGTACCAGCATCTCGCAGTGCGATGCAAAACATGGGGGAGATGGGAAGGGCAGTAAATTCCCTGCCAAAATACTGCAGGGGAGGGAGAAGGGTACCCTCTGCCTTGCACCCACCCCAATCCCCTCCCTGAGAGCAACCCCCTTGCTTACTTTGGGTTTATCCATTTCCCTTTGCAGCAGGATGGGATTTGCAGCATTTCCCTTGTTCCCAATGCGGATGGAGAGCAGCTGGGAGGTGGTTAACGAGCCTGTCGGACTCTTGTACAAGCTAAGCAGCCCCAGTGTGCCGTGCTGTGTGAGCTGCAGAAAGAAAAGGCGAGAGAAGCAATCTCTCTTATTTATCCGTTCCGAAATATAACCGTAAATTGTGTTATCATTTTGTCGATATACAGGGGCTCGCAAAGATTTCAAATAAATAATGTTATGACCCCGGGTGCCTTATTGATTTTTTAATAATTTCAAAGAGAAACCACTCGGTTTCCTGTTTGCTGACAAATTCTTTTCTCCCCGAGGAATTCCCATTGAGCATGTATTAAAGACAGGATAAAATAATTCCAAGGAAATAGGGAAAGAGGGCTTTCTGCATGGACTCTGCTCAGCAAATGGATATTTAACCTCTGACCAGTGACGACAGGTCTCTTTTAGCTCTATTAGATCAACAGCAAGCTACTATAATTAAATAAAAAAACTGTTTAGAGCCTAACCGAACATGTCCTGGGAATTAAAGCATATGGCAGGGATAGGGAAAAAAGACTTTCCGTATGCTAATGACCCTTGATGTCTGAAATAAATTAGATCCATTAGAGTTTATGCTCAATAAAAGAAAGACTTTAAGCACTCCAAAGTTAGTGACTCGAGACCGATTTTGGCTTAGAAATTCAATCTGCCTACTTATTAATTCTTAGTAAGGCTCTGAAGGAGACAGGGGATGCAAAATCATAATTCTGTGCTGTATCAGAATTTTAAAGTGCCATCAGTTTCTTTTCCTTCTTTTTTTAATTAAACCATTTTTCATGCTTCCTTTTTTTGTTCTTCTCATTAATTTGATTTTGTTCCCATTTTTGTTTAATTTCTTTCTTTTTAAGGTTTCATTTATCCTATTTCAACCGAACAGAGAACCCAGAATGAATATGGATTTTCTTGTAAGTTTAATGTTTCATTTTACGTTCCTGGATGCTAATGTGATGCTGTTCCACGGGTCAAGCTTTAGTGTTACACCAGCTCTGTGTGACTAGGCAAAGAGGGACCAATTGGGCAGAGTAAGTGGCAAGCTGCCTGCTTGACAGAGGTAGCAGTGTTTCACTGTCAGTGGGTTGACACAGGATGATAACAGCCCTTATGCCCAAGGAAGATGGGAGAAGATAGTGCCTCAAAGGCAGAAACTGGAGAGAATGAACCCTCTCTCTTGTTAGCATTTCCTTAGCAATCAGAAGAAATGTGGTAGAGAGAGAAATTTCCATTGAGCTGGAACTCAGAGAACTGCTTCATGAATTGCTGGGGATAAAAATCCTGCTTTTTTGAGGCTGGTGCATTGAAAGTCTGATAGGCAGAGGCTGATGAAGTTTGATCAGTCCTTTTCAATATTTGCCAGCTCTCACTTATATGGCTGGAGGACAGCCAGTTTTAAATGACTAAAAGGTGAGGAGCAAATAAATAAATAAATAAATAAGAATGATTCACATGTTTTAATTAACAGAAATAGGGTAGTAAAAAGGTCTGATTTGTTTTTGCCTTTTTTTTTTTTTTTCATTATGCTATCTCTGCTACTGGGACTCTTCACTGTATAGAAACACATCAAATTTTGATCATGTACTCAGTCCTTCTGGAAAAAAAAATGTCTAGTGGATAATGATGCTAGAGATTAGCCTGGAATTAGTGCTGAAGATACTGTATAAGCAGCTAGTAGAAATATCATAGCCATTTTCTCACAAGACAGCTATAATAAATCTGGGTTCCTTTTGGTAAATTACCACATTATTTCTTGTGCTTGCTTCGGCTTTTATCCAAATATGTATATGTTAATGCCAGTGATGAGAATTTAGAGGTTGATTCTCTGCTTTCCTGGACTTTTTTAAAGGAAAATAGGTGTAAGGGAAAATGGCTTGACACATTACAGGTCAGAAAAACCGAACTCAAAGATACATTCTGATATTCCAGGCATTCTCTAAAACTGAACTTTTTTTTCCCCTTCATTAAAAAAAATAAGGATTCCAAAGTTGGCAGCCCCACAGCTGACATCTTTGGTGTCAGAAGAACCACTAAATGTTAATACTATGATACTGTGTCACTAAGATGTACTCATTTATTTAATGGATTTAATTTGCTTCATGAGACTAACTCTGTAATGTGTTGTGCTTAGCAGTTCAGTGCCTGGGTACCAGATAAATGAACAAGCAGATAGATACAAAGATAGAACACGAGTTTGAGGCAAATCAAAAATAGTTTCCCATCAAAAGGGCATAGACCTGTTATATAGCTTTAGAAATGGCTTTTAAATTAACCTATAAAAAGGTAGTAAATATCTCAGGAAACGAGAATAATAAGAATATTTTCTCAAAAGTCCCTGTAAGGAGCGCGTTGCTCTAAGGTTCCTGGCCTCTCTCCCTCTAGCTGCTCCTGACTCGGATGATGTTGCTCTCTACGTCGGGATCGTCATCGCCGTGATCGTGTGCCTGGCTATTTCTGTGGTTGTGGCCCTCTTCGTCTATCGCAAGAATCACCGTGACTTCGAGTCAGACATTATCGACTCCTCGGCGCTAAACGGAGGATTTCAGCCTGTTAATATCAAGGCTGCAAGGCAAGGTTAGTTGCCGTAGCACTCCATGTTGACCAATTCAGCGATATGCTATGAGAATATGGTCTCTGGGGCTGTATGAATGATATTCGCTAGATGCTTGTTGGCACTTCATAAAGGGAGAAAGATTATATCCATTTGTTTCTGATGGCCAAGTGCTAAAAACCCATGGTGGCCTTTTTCAGATGTGTCCAAAAACATACAGCAGCGGTACTTAGCTTGTATAGAGAGAAGGTGAATGTGAGAGTGAAACAGACATTTATAAAAATACAGGTCTTGCTCAAATTTAAATCAAAATCAAAGCTATGACAAAAACAAGAGAGACAGGATTCATCACGGGAGTAATACAATACAATAATTCTATCACATCCACCTCCCCTTTGTTTCACTAATAGCCTTTTTTACTGTGCCGTGTCTCCACAGGCATAAATAGTGGTTTAACAAGTACTTTACTTTCAATGGACAATATAGAAGAAGAAGTTCTAGTGGAATATCATTTAATAAAGACCATCTTTATCACATGTGCATAATAGCTTGATGATTTCCACACTTTGGCAGCCAGAAGACAGCCATTCAAATGGGCTGTTTTTTTTCAAGACCCCCATTTAAGCAGAAGAGTTCCTCTTTTTTTTTTTTTTTTTTTTTTTTTTCCAATACATGTTTATGAAGAATAAATCAAAGTAAGGGTTACGATGACAAGAGAGTTGCCATACAGAAGGTTAGCAGAAATGTCATTTTCTTTGCTGAGGATAGCAAAGTGTGTGACACAGGTGCTAATCCCACACTGGCGGGGAGTCATGGGCACAATGACTTCATAGCTTTGTTCTCTCTGCTATTTCAGGAATTCTGTCTTTAGACCAATTAGATAAATTGGTTATTAATTCTCACTTAGCATTTAAAGAAGGAGTATTAGTTAATAAAACTAAATCTACTAAGTATGGAAAACTTCTTGCCTTGAAGTTAGGCATATTATGCTTGAAATCTGAGCAAATCTGAGTCTGGAAAATAATCCTACAGAAAAACACTTAGAGCAGAAACATGCTGTAATTTTGCATAACAATTAGAGCGCAGAGTGGCTGGGCCAATACAAGCTCTGTGAGATTTCTAGATATAGATGCCTGGAAAAGGAGATGAAGGTCAGTTTACAAGGACTTTGTATATCCTAACCTTTGGTATGAGTAGAACAGAATGAAAAACCAAATCATTAGTAGGAAGAAAGTCATCAGAACAGAGAAATAATCATAAGCAATATGGTTCTTCTTTCTCATCTCCAATGCAGACCTCCTGGCAGTGCCACCAGACCTCACTTCTGCAGCAGCCATGTACAGGGGTCCTGTTTATGCTTTGCATGATGTCTCTGATAAAATCCCGATGACCAATTCTCCAATCCTGGACCCCCTGCCCAACCTGAAGATTAAGGTCTATAATACCTCTGGTGCAGTCACCCCCCAGGATGACCTCTCTGACTTCTCCTCCAAGCTGTCCCCACAGATTACCCAGTCCCTGCTGGAGAACGAGACCCTGAACATGAAGAATCAGAGCCTTGCTCGGCAAACAGACCCATCGTGCACTGCATTTGGGACCTTCAACTCCTTAGGAGGCCACCTAATAATTCCCAATTCAGGTAAGTGCTAGCCATGTTTTAGGGTTTTAAGTGGAGTTAGCTTTCTTCTGTGCCAGAAGAAAAAAAAAAAAAAAAAGAAAACAAAACAAAAGAAAAGAAAAAAACAGGGTCACTCCTGGGACTGTGCCTTTCTTTGTTCAAAACAAACAGATGCTTTTTCCCCATTCAGATTAACTAAGAAGATTAACTAATATACTTCAAGGATCCTTTCCCCAAAGTCTTGGCTGCCTTTTTAACAAAATTTTGCAAGGCTCTTACCACTTTCTGAGATACGTTAGGCTTCAGTGCTCCCCTGTGTGAAGTAAGATTCAACATCCTTGAACTTTTCCTTTCATGCAGCTCTAGAACAGGGACTACAAGCCAGAAAGCCTCAATCTTGTCATCACACATAAAAAGGACAAATTAATTTAAAAACAAATTGGTTGTTCCACTTCCAATTCATTGCAGACTGTGTGGTATTGCAGTAGGATAGCAGAATGCTAATTTTTGGAAGGCTCTTTTTCCTGCTCATATTATATAGTCAAGGAAAATAAGGCCCAAGAGTGTCTTGTCCATATTTCTCTCCTTGTTATATATAGTGTTGATTTTTTTTTTACAACATCAGAATGGGGTTTAATCAAATGCATGATGCAGTGGATTTGGGGGTTATGCAAGCATCCCTCTTTCCACAGTGGTCAGGAATCCCCCTGCCACTGCTCTGATCCCAGGTAGTATCCCCTTTCTCTGGTGCACTGAGTCCAGGTTGTAGCCTTGTGAGGCCACCTCTCACAATTATCCAGTGCTGTAGCTGAAGGTCTCACAGCTTCCAACCTTACATCCTGTGGTCAGCTCTTGGCCATTTTACTGCACTGTGCCCTGTCTGAAGAGATGGTGCCTAACCCTGTCTCCTGCTCCATTTGCTGGATCTTTTTTTGTTCAGTGATGTTACGGAGAAAGCAAAACATCTAGGTGGCCCAGAACTGATTTGTTCCTTCCAAGATACAGCCCTATTCAGCCCAGGAAGCAGCCAAAAGTGGGCCCTCCTCTTTGAGTATCAATGGAGAAACACTGATATTAAATTTAAAAACCTAAGTGGAAGGTGAATTGCTTAAAGAACTCTGGCACTAACTGCTAAGTAACATTGATAATTCGTGCTATACAATCCTGGATTTCACATTTCTCTAAGCTGCAGCTGAGGGTAGACATTAATACCCAGGTTTCTTATGCCATGGTGGTGCACGCTGTCAGCAAAGTCCATTAGTCATATTTAATTCACATATATTAATATCAATTTGTAAGGAAAAAGAAATGCTTGTTTATTGCTGTAATTGCTTCAAAATGATTAAAATAAGCTTTGTAAAATACATCAATCTGTCTACTGCTACTTACTGTGTATGCATCCGTGCTGCTTCTAGACGTATGTATATCCTCCTAGCAGTATGATAAAAGTCCTTCATTTACCCTGTGCCTGCCCTCTTACAGCTGAAAACAGGCACAGGGGAGGTTGTGACAGCCCTGTAAAGAAACAAGTCAGAAACCTTTCATAGATAACCTCTCTCCTTCAAAATCCAGGTATGGGACTGAGCCATAATTTATCCCTAGTACATGGGAGGTGTCCAGTATAACCAAAACCTGTGTGCTGAAGAGAAGATACAGGGCAGTGCAAAGATTTTTTTACTCTTACATGCCTTTATTGGGCACATATGCAAATAATCTGCCCATAGGTTTGCATTCAGCTACACGGTCATAGCTGAATTAAGTCCTTGCCAGTGGTTCCCCACCAACCCTCACCTGCACAGACAGCTGGCTGAGCCACATCCAGCAGTGAGATCCTCTGCTGTGCTTGTCGTGCAAAGACAGGACCCTCTGCTTCCCCGGGATTTCTGCTCCATTTCTGAAATCACAGCAATGTAAGAATGGTGTTTTGTAATCAAACGCGCAGCTTATCAGCACTGCAAAAGGCACAGAGTGTATTTGCACAGATTTTTTCAAGGTTGGATATCCGAATTTTGTGCCACTCCACAGAAGCAGGCACATTCAGAATACTGAGAAGCCCCATTTTTTCTCCCTTGCAGTCTAATTAGAAGCTGAGCACATTAAAAGACAGGGTGCCAGTTGCAGAGCCCATCTTTCAAGAAACAACTAGTTCTTGTTGCTTCCTGGGACAGACAGTACTCTGCTGCCTTTCTCTCCTGCTTCTAATTAAGTAAGAATTGCCTAAGGAGATATGTCCTGTTACAACTGCTGGAAACTTAAGTCAGAGTTGTTCCTTTTCCCATTATTTTACAAGGTAAGAAGCAGCGTAACCATCTGTCTGATCTTTAAATAAAATAAAAGGGAAGGGAAGAAAATCCTCTTCTCCACTCCACGACTGCAGTGCCAAGACACAACAGGAGCAAGGAGTGACCATCTGATCACAGGCGATGCTGGGGTTGCCTACTTTGTCTCCAGAGTTGCTGAACTCATTTAGAGTCTTTCTGTGAGGCTGGGTGAAAATCTGGCATTGCAGGCTTCATCTTCTGCTGCTTCTGTTGCTCTCTTCACAGGCCCACCTGCGTTTTTCTTTTTCTTTTTTCTTTTTTTCTTTTATTTTCTTTTCTCCATTTTATCTTTTGTGTCTCTTCTGTTCTGCAGGAGTGAGCTTGCTGATCCCAGCGGGGGCCGTTCCCCAGGGGAGAGTCTATGAGATGTATGTGACAGTTCACAGGAAGGAGAGCATGAGGTAAAACGTACTTGCTTGCACATTTATTTGCTCGTGCATTAACAGAGGGGAAAAGGGTGTGGGGAAAATGTAGTAACTGAAACCCTGTGATAATGTGCTTACGCAAAGCCAACTGTGCTGAAGCTATTTGCTGGCCTGGAGGTAAATGCGAGCAAAGCTGAGGGTAAACTTTGCCACAAAACCAGCTCAGACTTTTGCTTGCCTAATGAAGAGCTGCATTCTGCAGCAAGCTCTCAAGCTGGGGAGGGATGCTGAATCAAAGCCAGAAGCAGGGAAAATAAGCCAGCATGAGTCTGGTGCAGCAGAGAAGATGTGAGGTAATCTCCTAATAAAGACCTGTGCCACAAAAGGGGCAGGGAGCGGAGGAGCAGGGTGACAAATAGGCTCAGCAGAGGGGCGAGTGCCTGAGCACCTGTCCTGGAAAGCCTCCTCTTCTGCTATAAGAATCTTTATTTTACCATTCACGTGCTTGGCTGGTCCATGCAGTGATGAGGATGGAGCCAAAAGCATTTGCTGTCCTCTGCCTCTCCGTGCCCCAGGCACACCACGGCAAGGGCCATGCAGACCCAGCATCAGGACGATCCCTGTTCTGCCCACACACCCCTATCTGTGGCCAGTTTGTATTCCTGATCTTGGTGTCTACTGATATGGCAGCCTTGGCATTAAAACAAAGTTTCCAAAAAGACCAAGATACTATTGCAGCAATTTAGGAAAACTTAATGAAGAGGAAGGTGAGGTCTTGATCTTCAGAATGGACTCGTGTACAAAGCCTGAATGGCAAATGTGAAACTAAGCAATCATTACACGGTACTTTGCCTCCTTCCCCTCCTCATAGCTAGATACATTTTTTGGCTCAGCCCTTTAATGGCTTTTATAATGTGCTAAGCCACAGCTGTTTATACACTGCGTGATATTGAACTCTATTCTTTAGCTCGGTAGTCTCTCACCCATGCTAAAATAATCTGCTTAAGGAAAAAAATAAGTAACACCTTCCCCACACCTCCCCCCGTATTTTTGCATACATTATTCATGGCCCGCTCTTTGAAAACAGATAATTGCAGCTACAGAAAAAAAAAGTGTCTTTGTTCATATCTAATATTGATTGTATTCCTATTACTTTGAGCTGTGTTTTGAAGATGCTTACAAACAACATTGAAAAAGCACTGTTTCCCAGAGAGGGAAAAATAATGAAAATCAGAGGGCTTCCCCTGTTATTCAAATGCCTCCAAATCTCTCTCCTTTAAATATCTAATTCTTCCCCCCCAAAAAAATGTTTCATTACCAGAAGTTACACGTGCAATTATTTTCTTTCCATCCAGCTATGGAGGGAATCCCTGCTTCCTGATTCATGCAACTGTAGGCAACCAGCACTGCGTGCTAACCTGATTTATTGGCTTTGGAGATCATAAAACCTCCTCTGTGTGTGCTGTGATAGCTGTTATTCAGCAGGGCACACCCAGAGGGATAGGGGAACCTGTACTGGGGGAAGCGTGGCTGGAGCTGTGCTGGCCACCAACCTGAGCGTGTATGTGCAGAAGTACAGAAAGGTGTGAGCCTTCGCTTGAAATGAAGATTTTGGGAAGTGATTTCTTTCCCCAGCAGAGAGCAGAGAGCAGGCTGGCTTGGCCGTACAGGCAGCAGAGCTCTTCCTATCATGGTGGTCATTATATCCTGGGTACACGGGGCCCAACTGCTTCGGTTTGGGCTTTATTTAGTGTTGTGTTGTGTTTTTTGTTTGCTTGTTTTTTTAGGGGGGGAGATAGGGGCAGAGGGTGCCGCTGGGGCTGTTTTGTTTGTTTGCTTGTTTTATTTTGATTTGTTTGTTTGTATTTTTTTTATTATTATTATTATTTTATATATAATGGTTTTTCAGCTCCTCTCCAGAATACCATGCTTCTCACGTTCACGGAAACCAAACACTTCTCATGGCATTTAAATTGGAGCTCATCAGCTATCACCCAGATCACTCTGAATTGAAGATTCACCCCAAAATTACCTAAACACAGTGGGACTGTACCATCCTCCCTGTTACCTGTTTCCTTTCCCCAGATGCCCATGGGCAGAAAGTGCTGACTGCACCCAGCACCAAGCTGCAATGCCCTGCTGCCATGGCACTGGGCTACCAAAACTTTTTAACCTCACTTTCTGCAGCAGAGATGCACTTCTGCTCTCGTTTCCACCAGTATGGGCCGCAGATGTTGCTCGCTATAATTGGAGCCATATGAGTGTTGCAGGTCGGTGTGCAGTGTAAATTCTTTTTTAAATCTGTTACCGCGCTGCCACAGCACTCCAGCAGAGAGTGGTAGCCCACAGCGAGGACTAGCTGCAGATATTTACTTCTGTGGCCAGGCGGTAGCTGGAGTGTGTTCAATAAACCCTGTGAGGGCCTGTATTTATTTTCATGTGCACTGTGTAAATGTGCCTGGATTGAAAAGCCCTGTCGTGCATCGATGTAGTTTGAAAGGGCACGTATAGGACACTATAAGATGTAAGTTATAATCCTCTTGATATGCAAACAACACTGAGGCGAGAATTTGGTCCTCATAGCGTTACCCTAAATAAAACCAATGAAGCAACAGAGAGGCTCACCACTGCAGATCACAAGCATATCTCCAGCAATTTAAGATTTAGCTCATACTTTATTCACAGAAATACAAAACAACTTCTGAACAGTCAAGCTGAAACAGGAAATCTGTTATCCCTCAAAGCCCTGCAAATTCCCCTTTTCTTTTCCTTCCTTTGTTTTCCTAATCCATTTCCCCCAGTTAGTCTCTGAAACCTGTAGTACAGAAATTTGAACGACTTCGCAACCCAGTAATATCACTCTTTGTGTTGCCTTGCAGATTGGCTAGGAGAGCTTTCCAGGACACTCTATTTATTCCATTTCACATCCATCAAAGCATGTGAGAGCAGGAGGGTCACCCTAAAAGCATTTTCCTTCCTCAGCGAATTGGGGTTCTGATGGCTTGCAATAGAGGCCGCTTTGAGGCAGTTGTTTTCTCTGTGCATGTTGACCTGCTTATGGCACAGGGTTTTCTGTGTTGTTTTTTTTTTTTTCTTCCTAACCCAGTGCTTCATCGGGCTGTTTTTCCTGCTCCTGCACTGCAAGCTAATCCTCATTCTGCCTGTCAATTGTGGCAGGATGGATTGCAAGCAGCTACTGGGCACTGATCCCTGGCTGGCATGAGAGATTGATGTTGACCTGATGAAAAGGTCCATGAAGTGACTTACAGTGCAGAAAAGGGTATCTATGTATATGTGTTTGTGTACAGACAGATCGATAATTAAAAAATAAATAAATGAGAAGCCTATGTGAATATTTCACAGCTGTCAGGCAGGTTTCTATCTCAAACTCACTGGCTCAAATGCAGCCAATAATCTCCGTCACTGATGATCAGATGTTCTCTCCCTTAGTCTGGGGAAGTGCCATCAACTTGCAATTTGCAAGACGGGGTTTCTTCCTGAGCTTTAAAATAAACACGTTGTTGTGACCATGACCTGGCAAGAGGCTGTTGCCATGAGCAGATGGAAAGTCTAGGTCTTAGACAACTAAGGATTAAACAGCGAGAGTATAAGCCCAAAGACTTCAGGATTTTCCTGATTTTCGTGTTGAAGAACAAAGGTAGCTCTGCACTAAATTTGTGAGCTGTGTGCTTCCTTTGGAAACATCTGGCACTGGTCAGTGCTGTATGGGGTCTGGGTCTTGATAGACCACTGTTTTGATCTGTGGCAGCTCCTGTGTTTCCCGCACGAGCCCCTGCCGGGCTCATACAGCTTTAGGTGGAACTGCTCTTGCATACTGTAATCAGAGGCAGGAACTGCACTAAATGTAGCACGGTGAAGGACAGTTCTGTATAATACATGGCGCAGGAGATGATGCAAATGAGGATGGATGTCACCTCGTCCAGGAAATGTGACAACCCTGGAGAACGGAGCATGCAGCTGTCCTGAAGTTCTTGCAGGGAGGCACATGTATAAATGGTCTGACTTCCAAACCAGCTACCTTCAGAGAGGGAAGGGTTGTGTAAGCCTCCTCAGGATCTAGACCAGTGGCTTCACATTGTGTGTGAAGGGCAGACTTCATATTAAGTCACCTAGCTGAGCAGTGAGTTTGATTCAAGGAGCAACACTGCCTTTTTCACCAGTAAGCACCAAGCTTGGTTAAGTGAAATAAAAGAAATCGAAGTCTTCTGTGTCTCGTTTCACCACCTTCCTTTTGCATCCCAGTTGCACAAAAATAATTGCTTGCAACTCCAGAAGACAATGTCTGCCAATCATTTTAATTGAGATGTTTGAAATAAAAAAAGACCAGACCAGCAGCAAAAGGGGAGGAAAATTTCTCAGATCACCTTCCTTCTAAAGGCAGACTTGCAGGAGAACCAGGAGGCCAGTCAAGAATATTAGATTTGAAACTCAAGAGGGAGCACGTGTTAAAAATAAAGTCCCAGCAATGAAAGGAGAAATAAAACGTCTTTCCTCTGACTTTTGGTTAAGCTGTGTGGAAGGGTTGCCATCTGTTGCTGCGAGTTATCCCTCCCTCCCTCCCTCCCTCCCTGCTCTGCTCTGTGCCTCCTGTTTTCAGGGAGCACGGTCATTGCCTGTAACATTGATGCACGGTGCCAGGGAGCGCAGCGGAGCCCACTGAGGAGCAGAGATTTCTCTAGTTGTGCTCACATCTGCTGCCTGACAGCTACCTTAATGAAAACGGTCTGGCTCATTACAGGGAGACCGTTTTGAATGAGTAATCCCATTAAAAAACACAAATTTGATTGTGGAAGGGCTGGATACAGTGAATAGAAGTTTGTTCTTTTGTTTTAAATACAAGTTGACTGTTCTTGATGAGCAGTGCAAGATATGGGACAAGGTTTAAAAATACCCGAAGCCCTTTCACTTACTGTTACTGCCTTTTAATAGCAATGCTAAACAGGGAGTTGAATTTCACTCTCGGTTTGATCTCTGTAAAACAAATGTAGCTCTTATGGCTGCAGTGAAGTGACTCTGGAGTCATACTAGCACAGCTGGGTGTCCAATCCCATTTAATAAGTATTTCTAAAACTACTACAAGCCTAAATTGAAACACACGATGTTTTTGTTGTTGTTGTTGTTTTTTGTTTGTTTGTTGTTTTTGTTTCATTTTGCTTTGTTTTCTGGATAACAGCCTAAAAGTACATTCTGACCCCCGGTTTTAAAGATGTTCGCTCATAGATCTTTCTGCTGTGGGGGAGATGAGTCCCTTGCTCTGTGTGGTCCCTTCAGTCAGTGTTTGTGTGATCTTGTAACACAGAAATCACAAGGTTTGGTCACAGCAGGCTCTTGTCTGGGTCAGAATCCTGACTTTGATGGTGCTGCATCACCTGCTCCGGGAGAAGGTAGAAAAATGCTTGTAAAGGATAACCTGTCTTTGGGGAAACTTGTTGTTTACAAATCCCATCAATTAGTGCTGGGTTATGCCTCGAAGCAGAAAGATTAATGTCTCCTGTATAATAAATCTTGACTACTGCATCTGTTTGGGGTTTCATTGGCTGTAGGAAGGCATAATTCCTTTGCTTTAAGATGGAAATTAAAAGCAATGAGAAATAAGAGGAGGTCTGTCAAGAGGTTTGGGTCCCTTTCTTCCTGTCAGCTGTCACGAGGTACCTCTCTGCTCTATGCACTGCTGCGTGGTTTCGTTCCTTCAGGTTTCAGGTGTTTATTTCTGAGCTCTCGCTGTAGTCCCTAAACACTCCGCTACCTGCAGGTATCTCAGAGCTGGGTAGGAAAGGGAATAGCAGCTTGGTGTGCTCTGACATACCTCATCCCCTACAACCCCAGAAATCAGATTTACTTTTTGCCACTGTGGCACACAGCAGGATGATACCTGCTGTGGTGCAGCACGTTCAGCTGAGAGCTTTTCCATTTTTACTGCTTTGCCTTGCCACTAAATAAAAGCTTTTGGAATTTGTTTCATTCCAGAAGTGAGAGCTGCTGAACAATTAATAGGATTTTATTTCCCACTGATATTTTAATCCTCTCTGGATCTTTTGCATTGCTTCCCGTCTCTCACTGCTACTTGCAATAACTCCTTCTTTATTGACGTCTGCAAATTTAGCGATTGTGCTGCTATTTACATTGTCTTCCGCATTGTGAGGAGAAATCCTGGCCTCACAGTACTTCTGACTTCAATAGAGCTGAAATCCCACTATTAAATGACACTGACCCTCATTTTGCTCCACTTGAGAGCTTCTCTGCAACTCATTATACCTCAGCTCCTTGCGGCTTTGAAGTGGCTCAGATTACTTGCAGTCCTCAAACTGGCTCAGACTTCGGAGAGCTGAGGTGGGTCAGTGTCTGAATGAGGCAGGTGTTGGAGGAGAGACACTGGGACCAGCAGCGTTGCTAACTTTGGAAAAAATACTAAACCCTGCTATTTTTGCATTTCCTTTCTCTGGTTATATCCACTTCCCATCTCCCTCACTAACCGTTCAGTCTGGAGTGCCTCCTGGCTTTGTCTTCTGCATCGTCATTTAAGCTTGTGCTAATCACATATAAAATGTTGCAGAGCAAAATTATGCCCTCCATCAGAGTCCTAAAGTTTAACAGCTAACCAAATTTTGTCACGGAGCAGTGACTAAACTTAATTTTACTTTGAGACAACTTTCAGCTGTATGATTTATCAGCGCTCTATTATTTTAATGATCTTTTGGCTTCTTTTTTTTTTTTTTTTCACCTGCATGCATCAGTGCTCAGATTCTTATTGATTTTAACTCATTTTTCACCTAGAAGACATTGTATGAAATTTTTTACAGCAGTCATGATATATTCCCTCCTATATTCTTTTTGACTGCTGGCCTTATAATTCAGTCTGCAAAACTATGATAATTCATATTTTTCCTCACTTCTTCATGGGTCAGTAGTCATTTAGATGAAGCTAGGTTAACCAGGTGATCAAGTCTATAGCTTGTCATATCTGTAGCTTTCCAGATGAATATTGTAATTTTCAAAGACGTTTCTCATAAGACTTCATGTTTTTTGAAACTTCCTGATAGACTGTAGGAAAGCGTTCAAACATTTGTTAATACGTTAACGGATATAACACATTGTGAGCCATTTTTAAGCTATACATTGCTTCAAAAAAAAAATAGAAAGAAAAAAAAAAAGGAAACTGAAAAAGAAGTAATGTTTCAGTCAAAATCTGCCCAACAATTTATTCACTTAGGTCTTGCAAGAGAGTGATTCTAGGTCTTCATAACCTGAATCCAGAGATCCCCGTATATACAGCAGGAGCCAAACTGGATGCCCTATATGCTAAGGCTTTATTTCTCTTATGTACTGTTTGTTAGGCTAAAACAACCCGTGTGATTCATCATAGCTGGCCAGATTGTTATATTTTAGTTTTTTTGAAAGACAGATACCACAGCTGTTTGTTTCCAGCCCATGGCTTTTCAGAAACAATTGTTAAGTCATTTAGTAAACTCATCAGTTACTTTCCTTTAGGATCCACAGATGCATATCATCTGGATTTACTGATTTGCATGCACTTCAGTTTTTCCATGTTGGACCTTTGTTTTTTTTTTTTTTTTTTTTTCCAAAATGTTATGAAAATTTCCAACATTTTCATGAACAAGAGGCACTTTTCAAAATGGCCTTCATCCCACTTTCAAAACAGATTTTTCAAAAGTTTCATTTTCTGTAGGACTAATGGATTATTCAGTGTGAATTAAGGTGGGCAATATTAGGATATTCCTGTGGATGTACCAGTGATACCCAGAGTAGATGTAATAAACTTGATCTCAACAGAGCTTTCTGTCCTGATTTGTTCTCCTTAACTAAGATTGTTTTTACTCTTTTCTACTACTACTTTGATATTCTTTCTTTTTGTCGATGTTATCAATATCCACTCTTGTCTCAACTAATCCCCCTAAAACCAATCCAGATCTAAACACAAAGTGTTTGCGCATGCAACTGGACTGAACCCTCAGCCAGAGTGGAAGATGCAAGGTCCCGTGGACTGACCCAGATTTCCAAGTGCAGATCACACCCAACACTTTAATCTCCCGCTTGCTGGTTTCTGCATCATGAATTTGTCCTCTCTGTTATTTAGAGAAGCAGCTGATGAGGCACATTCAGCTGTATTTGTCATACACCAGATGTCAGGATAGTTAAAGTCACTCATGCTTCCTCTGCTTTAAACTCCTCAGCAGTCGGTCTGAGATAGCTCACACGTGCACACAATCATTTACAAATTACTCTGTAAGAGAAGGATTATTTCTTCTTTCTACATACCTTAACTTCACATACCTTAACGTGCCTTTTTGCCCTTTCTCCCCCCACCCTTCCCACATCCACCTTTCCATCCCACCATCAGGCCTCCTATAGAAGACAGCCAGACCCTGCTGACGCCGGTGGTGAGCTGCGGACCCCCAGGAGCGCTGCTAACCCGGCCCGTCGTGTTGACCATGCACCACTGTGCAGAGCCCAACACGGACGACTGGCAGATCCACCTGAAGCACCAGGCTGCCCAAGGGCCATGGGAGGTGAGTCTATAGGCCTTTGGCCTGCACCGGCTGTCCAAGATGCCCAATGCCCCTAGAAATGCTTTCTGGGGGCAGTCCCAGTGCCTCCCGCTGTGGTCCATGAAGCATGGCCTTCCTGCAGGATTTTGGCACTTAAGCTTTTGGTCTTGGTAGGTTATTAAGCTGAAATCATGGGGAGGGAATGAAGAAAAGAAGCAAAATAGAAAATAACAACTGAAAAGCAGTTCTCTTCCCAGGAAGAGAAGAGGCAAAATAGAAAAGAACAACTGAAACTGAAACTGAATTCCAGAAATAAGAAAATATTTTTTACAGAATACTTCCAATCCCCCTAGTTTATAGTCTGTTTGCAAGAAAATGAAAATAGTGCTGCAAATGATCCCCTGCTTCAACACCAGGACATCAACCAGCTTATTAAAATTTATAGGACTTGCTTTTCTCTTCTTTTTCACTCCTAAGATGTTGGTGAAGCACTGCTTTGATTCAGTTCATGCAGTCAGCCCCAGCCCTGCACCTTGTTAATCTGGGCACTGCTAGGCTTGGTGAGAGCCTCCTGCCAGCAGTGCAGCAGGAGGATGTCTGTCCCAGGGTGGGGTGGCAGAAGGACACCACAACTGGAGCATGAAGCGATGCTTGCGGCAAGGCTCAGCCGTTCTGGCACAGGCCTGCTCTCCCGTCCTGCCTCCTGAAGGACTTGGTCACTCCTGCGTACCTGCTGCTACCAGTTCGGTCTCACATAATTAATTTGGCAAGGGCACCTTCTCCTACTGGTAGGTTTTGTGAGGGCAGGGAGGCTTTTGAAGGCAGTTGGGCCACCAGCAGCCAAAAGCAGCCTGTCCAGCAGGGCCTTCGCAGGGCTCTTGCTTTGTCCCCCTGCCCATGGCACCAGCTCTTCCTCACGCTGAGAGGGCTCACGCAGTGAACACAGGTCTGTCTGGCCAAACAATATGCACCCTACCAGCCTGGCTCTTGGCACCACACGTGTGTTCCTTATTTGTGTCTGTGTTACTGGCATCTCTTTGTTTTCTCCTCTGTCCTCCCTGCCCTTGACAGAGAGGTTGTGTCTGGCGCCAGCACTGCAATCAGCACTGCAGCACCTCCTTTTCTGCTCTCCCGAAGGACCAGGCCACCCCTGCGAATGTGACATGTTCGCCTTCCGAGAGACCAGAGGCACCAAGTTTAATGCCAAATCTCTGCTCTGCCACAGGCTTCAAGGCAGCAGGGATAAAGCAAATGAGATGTGGTGCATGGTGGCTGTGTAAGAGGCGGCCACTGCTGCCCTTCTCTCTCTCCGAACCACTGGAAGCTCCTTGTGTTGTGTGCAAGACATTGCACGCAGGGTTGAGTGAAGTTGGCAGGAGAGCTGTTTTCTTCTGAGCACAGGAAGGAGGCTGTTTGCATTCAGGCTTTTTTTCTTCACCCTGCAGTCTCGTCACGGAGGATTATTCTGATGAAGCAGCAGGTGATATTTCATGTAGATGTGGCATTCGGCCATCGTAGAGGTTACTTCGCTTCCTTGAGTTTTTATAACACCTTATTGTCATGCTTAGGAAGTGAAGGGCAGTTTTTTGTTTATATTTATTATCTGATTAATCTAACATGCAGGCAGCAAGGACTTTGAGCATCATACAGGCTTGAAAGGGGTCTCCAAGTAAAGCAACTCTGAGTGGTCATGATCTTTAAATGTGGCCTCTTTCTCCCTTAGGATGTGGTGGTAGTCGGGGAAGAAAACTTCACCACCCCATGCTACATCCAGCTGGACCCCGAGGCCTGCCACATCCTGACAGAGACCCTCAGCACGTACGCCTTGGTGGGACAGTCCATCACCAAAGCGGCAGCCAAACGTCTCAAACTGGCCATCTTCGGACCACTGTCCTGCTCGTCGCTGGAGTACAACATCCGCGTCTACTGCCTCGATGACACGCAGGATGCCCTTAAGGTGGTGGTTGCTCTCACGCTCGCTTTTCCTCTCTCATCCTAGCAAAGCAGTGACTAGCCCCTCTGCTGCATGTGTTTCTTTTCCGCAGATTATTTTTCTGATTGGAAGAAAAGCCTGACAACAAGCTGCTGTTTTACAGTTTAACCCCCGCACACTATAAATTGTCCTTTGCATGGGGATCTGACACACGCCAAACTGTTTTCCACCTGCCAGCATTTTTTCCTTTGTTTACCTGTATCATATCCTGAATCCTAAGATTTTTGCATTATTAAAAGGCCATAAGGTACACCGGGCTTCATTCGTTATTCATGTATTTTTAATGCTAAGTGCCAGCTCCCCAGAGATGGGGAAACATATAAATGCCTCTTTGTAAATAGTTGATAATGATAAAAGAAGCTTCTGGGCTGTTAATCACTGCCTGCTTTCATACTGCTTCATTACACCTTTTCGTGTGCAATATTTTGTGTTGGGAATTTGCCACTAAAATAAATCGAAGCTGTTGCTTTCTGTAACTGTACACCTTACCCTCACTGCATAATTCTGGCGTTCTCACACACGCGCGCACGTTCTCCCTCACATACAGATGAGCCCATAGATAAACATACTTGCTATTTCTCTTTATAAATACTTGTATTTATACAGATGGTATCTATAATAGATGCACTCATAAAATATGTAGCTCCAACTGTACGTGTAAGATTGGAGGTTATTAAAAGGTGTTTGTTTGTGTTTTGTTTTTTGTTTTTTTTTTTTCCTTTAAGCATAGCCAGTGTGACTTCCCAAATGTTTCTTTGCAGCAAAACAAGCTCGCTCTAAGCAGAGCCATCCTTGTGCCGTGCACGACTTTGTCATATCAGCACCATGTGGGAACTGCTCAGACATAAGCCCCCACAGGCTGCTGGGGAAATGTTCTTGTTTTTCAGTGCACCGGCCTCCATCACTGCAAATGCCACCGTCCCTTTTCATCCCAAATACTGCCCAATCCCAAGGCCCTGCCTGTTCTTTGTTGCGGGGACACTCGGAGCATTTTCTCTATAAATAAGAAATTTTCATCCCCAAAAGTGGAAAGAATCTTTTGCACCGATCAAGTGGAAATGCTTCGAAAGTCATGAGGGCTTTATGGCTGTGCTCTTCGGACCCTGTGCTGTGTAATATGATTTTCCAAGGGTCCATCCAGCCTGAGGGAATAATAAGTGACTTGGCAGAGCCTTGAACAGATAGTGATTGCAGTCAGAGCTGGGCCAATTGGATTAGGTGTTACTCAAGAGTTGTTGGCTTGTTTCTAATAGACTGCAGGGAACATTGCAGGGTAATGTTAATCCAATTCAGAGAGCAGAAGGGATCAGGAGAGGCGCTGAGTAACATAACAGAAAACCATCTTTCACTTGAGAAACTGCACTGAACGTCTGGGAGAGGAGCTGGCCAATTCTTGGGCTTCAGCTGCAGGTTAAGTGAGCTTGTAATTTGGGGAGGAAAGAGTCACTGAGCAAAGTCAAGTGGCCACTTTCATGCTCGCACCTATCACTTCTTTTTAAGCCTCTTCCTCTTGGCACTTTCACCCCAAGACTGGATGGCCATACATACAAGCTGCTGTACACTGGGTTCAAGGCCAAGATAGCTGGGGTTTGCAGAACAAGCACGAGTACTTCAAAGGGCCAGAGCACCTCTACTGTGAAGAGGGACTGAGGGAGCTGGGGTCGTTCAGCCTGGAGAAGTCTCTGGGGAGACCTTACTCTTCCAGTGCCTAAAGGGGGCCTCCAGGAGAGCTGGGGAGGGACTCTGTCAGGGGGTGCAGGGATAGGAAAAGGGGGAATGTCTTTAAACTGTAAAGAGGGGAGATTTAAATAAGATATAAGGAAGAAATTCTTGACTCTGAGGGTGATGAGGCAGTCAAACAGGCTGCCCAGAGAAGCTGTGGGTGCCCCATCCCTGGAGGTGTTCAAGGCCATGCTGGATGGGGCTTTGGGCAACCTGGGCTGGTGGGAGGTGTCCCTGCCCATGGCAGGGGATTGGAATGGGATTGTCTTTAAGGTCCCTGCCAACCCAAACCATTCTGTGATTCTGTGATTCTACTTGCTGGCCATAAAGTGTTTTGAAGCTATAACTTACATTTTTTCTGGAAATAAAACGTTTGGGGAAGGTGGAAGTTAAAACCAAATGTAGTAAGCCAGTTCTAGGTGAAAGGGTTGAGCATGCTGATGGTTTTGGCTGGGATGAAGTTCATTTTCTTCACAGCAACCTGTAGGGTGTGATGTTTTTAGCTGTCCACCAGGCTTACCAGGTGAGGGAGCTGCCTGCACCAGGCAAGCTGCTGGCCCATGGAGGGCAAGGTGTGCAAAGGGGGCTGCCCTGGGCAAGGCAAGGCCAGGGAACGGGAAGCAGTGTGAGATGTTGCTCATCGTTATGCATTTATTCTAATAGGCAACTGAATGCATTCTGTTGTTATTTACAGCTAGGAGTGAGCGTGCCATATGCTGAATGGGTCCTAGCAGCTACCCAAGAAAGACAAGCAGTTGCTGTATATAAAACACTGCATTTATTGCACAGGCTTTACCCTCTGATTGTGCAGAGTAACAGTTCACTGCCGAACCACCGGGGCTCACAGTGCAGCCGGGAAGTGCAAAGACTCGGTGTAAATAATGTCAGGGTTATTGTGGGAGAGGCTTGGTTGGTTTGCTGGGGTTGGGAAGCCAGATAGCCCCAGCACTGTGGCCCTGTGGAAACCCAAGCTGTAGACTGTGATGCCCAGATGGGATGCTCAAAAAAGTTCTTTTTGGGGAAGAGTGAGGGTGGTGATGTCCCAAAGCATTATCCTCTTTTGTAAGGCACTCAAAGAGGGATGCTCTAACTAGTTTGTTGTAAACAAATTAATAATGTCATAGCTACAAAGAAATCCTGCTGATTTATTCCCATCTATTTATTCATGTACAGCTTTGAGATAGAGGTGTCTGAGCTGGGTGTGGTGGCTGAGCAGCCAGGCATACCAGGGGTAGGTGAATTATTTAGGCTCTAGCAGGATGGCTTCCCCCAGCCTGCTTCATGCTGTGCAGTAACAGTTCTCCAAAAAAAAAAAACTAATCCTAACAGACATGTCATCTTCTCTCAGTTACTTAATGCATATTTGTTCCTCTAACAAAGATGCCTTTTTTTGGTGCATGCTTGTGCTCTGTTAATGAGGAAGCTGTTTCCAAATACAGGCCGTCGCTGTGTCAATGCTGCTGTTGAGGGAGCAATGTCTTGTGCAGTTCTCTCTCCCGGGAAGAGCACAGGGCACAAGTCCTGGCTCACAGGGGAGGCAAGAGGCGATGGGAAGGGTGGCAGGAGCCACCACAGCATGGGATGAGTGATGCTCAGGTCAGCTTTCAGCTCACGAGGGAAATGGAGGTGCCAGCCAAGAGGATGAGCACTGCTCTAAATAAAACACCGTATGGCTGGAGCTCACCAGCAGGTCTTAAGGGCCTTGGGAATGGTGGCGGTGGCTCCAAATTAATCCTGAATTAATTAGCCTCGCAGCATGGGAGAAGCGTGGGCTTCCAGTCAGAGAGGTTACGGTGAACCAGAGTGGCTACTGATGATAGGATTCTGACACCAGGCAGCCGGACCTGCGATGCTGAGATATTTGTCCCCACGGCAGCACAGCCCTGAGGCCGGCCGCGGGTGGAGAGCGGGAGCCGGCAATTAGCGCACACAGTGCCGCCAGCCTTCTGGTCATTCCAGGGAGGTAATTTGGACATAATGAAGATCTACAGTAATCAGATAATTGCTATCGATTGCTCTTTAGACGTCTTGACGAGGTAATTAGGGGGCACTGGAATTGACTCATTGGCGTAACCTTAATCTAAAAGGTTTCCTGATTCTCTCTCTTTGCCTCTGATGGCTGATAAGCAAACATCGTTTTAGCTTTGGGATCTCTAAGGTACCAGGCTCACTGGGGATGTATGCTTTTCTTTTATGCTAACTAGATGCCAAACGTGATCGAGAGTAGCTTGTCTCACCCTTAGCTAAATCAGAGGCTCCTTTAGCTAGCCTGGGCTAGCATCCCGGTTTTGTGTGCCCGTGTGCTCCTTGCGCGTGTTCACTCTGTATGTGATTGGCTTTGGCTGTGTGAGACTGCTTGTTTGGCTGGCTCTCGTAATTAAATATGACTGAGTTTGGCAGTGTTTGTTTCTAATGAAGCTCATGTAGGTGCCTTTGTACTGGCTCCTTCCATGTGGATTACAATTAGGCTGTTTCTCTGTAGACAACGGTCCACTGTGGTCTCGTTAGTTAGAGGCATGTCTTTATTTTTAGCTGCAGAAAATGACCAGGCTCTTGGCTTACTAGGTTTTAATTACACAATCAATATCTCGGTAACCCTGAACCTATGTATTTGTGTGTACAGAATGCTATGTCACCGTGTCTTGCGCTTGTTTTGATGCCATCCCGCTCAATGGTGAGTCTCAGAGTAGGTGTCTGAACGGATCTGTCACAGAGCAGCTTGCCAGGAGGCTGCCGGATGCAGGACCAGCAGCATCCACAGGTCCCGTATCAGCAGAACCTATGCAAATAAGAACTTCCTGAAGCAAAATAATAATGCTTTAGATGTCCAGTTTGGTGATATGGGTATATCTCCATATCCAAACAGTATGCAAAATCTTTGCATTCAATATAATCACATGCAGTTAAGATTTCTGTGCCTTGGACATGACAGGTAACGGTGTGTCTCCGAAAGGAAACAAGGCTGCCTGTACCTCTCCTGGGCTGCTGTTGTGTGATGAGGACAAAGAGATTACCCTTAGATCCACTAGTGCAAGTCACAGGGAAATGTAACGCCATGTGCCATCTGCACAGCAACCACAGCAGTCAGACTTGAGGAATCAGAAAACCACTGTTGACGTCTTAGTGTTGTCTTGACACAACCTGACCACTTTTCTTCTTGTTATTGCCGTCCTGCAGGAGGTCCTCCAGCTGGAGCGGCAGATGGGTGGGCAGCTTTTGGAGGAACCCAAAACTTTGCATTTTAAGGGAAGCACCCACAACCTCCGCTTGTCCATCCATGACATTGCCCACTCTCTCTGGAAGAGCAAACTGCTGGCTAAATACCAGGTGAGCATCACAAACGTTGCATCCTAGTGGAGAGGCATAAAGAAATACAGTGACACATAGTTTAAAAAACAGTGAGTGTGGACATTTTTTCCCTGGACCATCTGAAGTGCCAGTAGCATGGAGCTCACAGTCTCCAGTCATACAACATCTGTGCCCTGATCCTGCGAGGTGCCCCACGCCCCTCTTCTCAAGGCCATGTGGGAGCTGAGCCAATCCTCGACTGAAAAGGGATTGTGGAAAATGACACGTCATTTAAGTATCATTAAAAAAGCCTCCTTGACTTTTTTTTTTTAACTTTTTTTTTTTTTTCCTGCTTTTCTCCTGCAGGAGATTTCTTTTTACCACATCTGGAGCGGGTGCCAGAGGAACCTGCACTGCACCTTCACCCTGGAAAGGTTCAGCCTCAATACCCTGGAGCTGGTCTGCAAACTCTGCGTGCGGCAAGTCGAAGGAGAAGGGCAGATCTTCCAGCTGAACTGCTCCGTCTCAGAGGTAAGAGACATCAGTGTGTAAGCATGGGAGGGCTAAGGATGTATAGCCCTGCCCATTGCTACCTGGTTTGGTCTTCCCATTTTCTTCCCAACTGCTGAGACAAACAGAAGGGGTGGATTAAGCTGTCGCTTTACATCTCCTCCTGCATTTTCCCTGAGTTTATCTCCGTATCCTCTCATCTGGCATGGAGCATCTCCCCTCAAGGAGGGAGGCAGTGAAGGTCTCCTTTCTAGTCCCCCTTTCTGTGTCTGCATGGAGGAGCTCTTTGCCTACCACTCCCTAACGCCTCTCACAAAGCACTGTGTGGTCCTGGCTCCCGGACAGGGAATACCAGATGGTCTACTTGCAACAGACTTTTCCCCTCAGACTTTGCTACCACTACAAATCATGGCTATTATCTTTGACAGTTCTTCTTTTGCTGGCTGACATTTTCCAGTAGAAAAATGATCATAAGTTTTGGAGCATCTTTACCGTAGCTGAAAAATTTTAGCTCCTTGGGGCAGCAGAGCTCAGAGATGAGAAATAGTGATGCATTCAGGTGTGAAGCAGCACCGACTTCAGTGGGTGTGCTGGTGGCTTTTGTGCCTGGTACCTCCTGGGTGCTGCCTTGAGTTTGAGGTCACCATCATCCCTTAGCTGCTACTGGGCCAACACAGAGAAACGGAAGAGTATTGCATTATAAACTGCCCCAGGGCCCAAAAGCTCATTCACCCTGCTCGAAGGCTGTTCCCTTCTGCTTATAAAGATTTAGTGTTAGGCAAAATGCATTTGGGAATTTAAACCACCTCCCACAGCAAACCTAGATCACATCCTCATCTTTTATCGCTTCTGTTTACCTTCCTAATTTATTTTCATCTGTGTCTCCAAATCCCTTTGAAAATGAGTTGCCAGGGGAGATAGCAGAGGAGGCATCCTTACCACCCAGTTGGAGTAGTTCATCCTGCAGTACCCGCACCTCGGTGGCTATGGACTGGGGAAGGGCTGGGAGGTGACAGGCAAAAGTTACTGGTGGTTTAGGGCCCCAGCGGTGTGTGTCATTACCCATAACATCTGCTTGGTTATTGGGTGTAAAGCTACATATTCAGCTGGGGACAACACAGCATTAAAGACAGATGGTAAAACAAGTATCATAAACAATTATTGTAATAAGTGCTGCATTGAGGTAATCTCTAATTTAACCTAACAGAGAAGAGAAAGAACTGAGAGTAACTTTAATGAAATGCAAATACAGACTATAATCATCTTCAGCTGCTTCTGTGTAATAGGGCCTGGTAATAGATTCAGGGGAAACGGGATAATATTCTTGTCTTGTGCTGTGATCGCATCCATCAGGGATGAATAGAGGGAGGGAATAACACTGCTGTTATCAAGGCTGTCCATTGTAAAATCGCTCCTTGTGATTGACACCAACTGATATTCCCAAGCCCAAATGAGGACCTAGGGCTGCTAAGGGACGATTGGGTCAACTTCTACAAAAAATAATTAAAATAAAATAAAATAAAATAAAATAAAATAAAATAAAATAAAATAAAATAAAATAAAATAAAATAAAATAAAATAAAATAAAAGCCACAAAATCTCAGCTTGTTTGATGGCAGAAATCACTTGGAAAAGCATTAGGAAACTTAACTGTGGCTCCTCACAGTTTCTTCTGTTGCCTAGTTCACCACTACAGTGTCTCAATGTGTCAGTTGCATGCCGTGGCCAGGAATAAAAAGGGAAGGTGGACTGCCTGTAACGCTAACATCCACCAGCCTGTAGCTGCAGCCACTGATCCACCAGCACAGGTGAGTCTAGAGGCAGCTGTGGTGGCATCTGTGTCCTTGTGCCAGCTCCTGGGCAGCCCCTGCTGCTGGAGGAGGAGGAAGAGGACAGCTCATGGCCTGAAATGGCCAGGCCAGCTTGCAAGGCAGGGCATTGCCTGATTTTGAGACGGTTTCAGGTTTTATGGTGCCTTCCCAGAAGCCAGTTTGCCACGAAACAGCCAGGCAGCTCAAGGAGGAACAAACAAATTGACATTTAAGGACGAGTATTTTGCTTCCCTCCAGCAGAGGCAGGGACAAAGCTGCTTCCCCTGTTTCTGCCAGCATCACCTCAGGCTGGTCACACTGCAAATGAGAGAAACTGCAAACATAAATAGGAGCTGTGGAAGGAGAGCAAATCACTCCTGCCTCTTTTTCCAGGCTTCTGCCCCAAATAATTAACCAGCTCTCGTTGACCTCTGAGAGGTTATTTTTTCACCCTAGCCAGGAAAGTTCAGTTCTGCCCTGGTGGTAGTAATTTGCTCTGAAACATGTCAAAGTGCTTGATCTTTATTTCCAGAAAGTGATTAATTAAGCCAGGCACAATGCTGTCTAGCTACAGTAATCTTTGCCCTCAAAAATTAAAATAAAATACAAATTTGCTGTCTACCCTAAGCTGACTATAAATATTTCTCTTTTTCTGCTAACATAGATGCTTGACTGACAGAGCGCTGCCCCTCTAATGCAAGTGAAAGCAATAAGTCTTAGAGGAGACACTTCTGTAATTGTTTCTGCATTCAGCAGCAAAACTGCTGGAGGTTTTTTGTTATTTTTGTTTTGTTTTGGTGTTGTTGGTTCTCGGTGTTGTTGTTTTGGTGTTGTTGTGTGTTTCTTTTTTTCCTTCTTTCCACCCTCAGGAGCCAACTGGCATCGATTACCCCGTCATGGACTCAGCAGGCACCATCACCACGATAGTTGGCCCCAACGCATTCAGCATCCCCCTCCCGATCCGGCAGAAGCTCTGCAGCAGCCTGGACGCGCCCCAGACCAGGGGCCACGACTGGAGGATGCTGGCCCACAAGCTGAAACTGGACAGGTGAGCAGGGTCAAGCTAAACTCCCTTGGAGGTGTGTGCCAGAGGGGCCCCAAAAACACCCCGCGGAGCTGAGTGACAGCAGCTGTACCTACAGGCTGGTGGGAGTGATCCCACAGGGGATGAGCACCCTGACAGTGCTGGGGATGGTCTGAACCTGGATGAACCTGGGTATAAATTCATGCAGCTGAAAAAAAATAAAAACAAGTCTCCTTTGGGCCTCTTACAGGTACCTAAATTATTTTGCTACGAAATCGAGTCCCACCGGGGTGATCCTGGATCTCTGGGAAGCCCAGAATTTCCCCGACGGCAACCTGAGCATGCTGGCGGCAGTTCTGGAAGAAATGGGAAGACACGAAACCGTGGTTTCTCTGGCAGCAGAAGGAAATTACTGATGCAGCCTTGGCGTGAACAGGAAGGACAGACACAGGGAGCGGTAAAGCCCTGTTATTGCAAACGAAAATTGAAATGAAAACCCAGACCAATGAGTTACACAAGAGACATTTCAGAGAAGAAAGCAAGCAAACAAACAGAAAAAAAAATATACAGCCCTGACCTTCACATGTGCTCTCCTTGTACATTATCACAGGATCTAAGAGAAATCATGCAAAGTTGTACCTTGAAAATATAAATCAACCTAATGTTCCTCTTGGCTTGGCTGTACACTGCTTGGTACAGGATTTTACAGTTTCCTAGGAAACGCTTTTTATTGCTATCCAGATATATGGATAAACTTTCTTAACAATCCCAGTTTCTATGGATGTTGTTTACATCAAATTCTGGACAGGGGTAAGGAGACTGTCCATGGCTCTTTATATTTTTTGTTTAAAGCCATTCTAGACAAGGCTGTGGACAGTTGGTTGTGGCTATTTCAGATTATTGGTTTCTGGTGAATTCAGATTTTGGCTACAATTCCACGCATCAATTGTCTCACAATGATCCTCCTGTCATCATTCTGTTTCCTAGACCTACCTTTAAAAAAAGAAAAAGAAAAAGAAAAAAAAAAAAGAAAAAAATAATCTGTGTTTAAGAGGTGTGCCTCTGGAAAGCAGGTACTCTGGGTGCTAAGCAGGAACACATGTACCGTTCCCATCCCTCCCTGAGGGAGCCCCACTGAGCTTTTGTGGAAAATGGCTGTAGGGCAGTGGGGACTGTAGGATAGGAGTCAATATTTCTCAATTCAAAGTGTAACCAGACCCTTTCTACCCCTTTGTGATATGGTGGAGCCAGATATGCAATTCCGAGTAGTTGGGAGGGGGTGGGGGGGTGGGGAAAGAAACCCAGAAAAAATAAAAATAAAAAAGAGCATTTGCTATGATAATTATTTACTAATTAGTATCTAGTGCAAGGATTATAATGATTATTATTATTATCATTATTACTTTATTTGTAGTTCTGTCAGCAGCAGGATGAGTTGTTCCCATTTTTATTGAGCCTGTTATCCCCTTCCTGAAGGCCTTCTAAGACGCTACAAGACCTCTGTATGCCGTCTGTCCTTCCTTTCTCCAGCCATCCTCCAAAGTCTTCTGCCACAATAGGGGTAGCTCACCCCATGTTGTCTTTGCTGTGCTCAACGCCTACCGCAAAGGCGGTGCAAAATGGTGATGCTTCGCTGAAGTCACTGAGCTCTGGCCCCATGCCCCTCCCTGCAGCCAGCTAGGATATTTGGCACCGATCTGCTGTCCTGGGTGCAGCCCTGGCCCTAAGTGGCTGTGATGTCTTGCTTGGCCCCATCCACCCTCCCTGTCCAAATACAGAGCCCACTGGTACAGACAAAGGCACGCAACGTATGGAGGTGCTGATGCTCAACACCCAATTTGTGTGCTCAGCGTGGCCTCCGTATGTCTTCTGTATTAGCCCACCAGGAGCGTTCGTCCCTCTGCCACGTCCACCACACGCAGGTGATACGGGAACGTGGCAAAAGGAGCTCCCTACTGTTTCTATCAGTTGTCACTGCAAACATATTTCATTTTCTGCTCCGTGAAAGGACTGACTATATAGTACAGCACAGCATAGCGCAGTGCTTGTACTGCCAGCCCTGGTTGTCCTCTGTCCACTTTCTTCCCCAGCCCATCCCCTCCACGCGTGTTCCCACTTCATGTTCTTCCTCAGACCTGAGCTGCTGCGTTTTGGTTTTGGATTTTTTTTTTTTGTCATTTTGTGTGTGTTTGTTTGCTTTTCCCAAGGCTTTCAAAACTGCGCCTTTAAAGGTAACTTTGAAAATGTCATTGGTCAAAATGAAAGGAAAATTTCATCTGACCTTTCTCCCGTTTGACATTTCCATAGGCTTGGGATGTTTTGTTTTTAATTTCTCAGCTCCCTGACACCAGCGGTGCTTTCATTACACACTGGGCAGTGTTCACAAAGCACTCTTTTTCTCAGCAGTTACCCAGCAGCTAGCAAACCAGACTTCCAGTCAAATCCAGGGACCAGAGGACATAAATTTTAACTTTCCACATCAGTTGAAAGTTGCACATTTTGCCTGTGCAATCCCCTCCTTCTGTGAACACGGAGATGCCAAGGGCATCCTTGCCACAAACATCCATTTTGTTTTTCACCTTGGGCAGCTAATGCAGCGCTCTGCAATGCTAATGCAAATCTTGCTTTCAGCTTCAAGAGGCTTCGACTGGGGCTTCCAGCTCTGCCCTTTTCCTGCAGCTTTTTACCCATCTTGGAGCGATAATATGGCTTCAGGTCTTAGCTTTTCTCCCTCGTGCGCCCTGTTCAGGTGGAACTACTTGTATTTAGTGCGTGCTTCTTCACCGTTCCTGTGCATTCTTCATGATCTTAACTTTCATCTCTTTCCTCTTTCCGTCTCAGTCTGTCACCTGGCATCCAGAATCACTTGTACCCCATGTGTACACCGTGTTATTTTGGTAGGTGGGAAACATGTGCACCCTTCTCCCTAGGGCCTTGCAGAGACGTGTCCCATAGCTAACTGTGTCACTTCAAGACGATGCTCCTTTTGCCAGCTGTCTGACCCATCCCGCCCCCAAGACACTCTTCAAGGGAAATTGATGATTAATATTCTTAAAATATTCGGAATCTGGGGCATTATCCTTCTGTTGCTCTAAAAGGGATTTATATGGAGGGAGGAGTATCCACAGGGAATGGCACTGGAGGTGGAGCTGGTCTTCTTCCATCCCGCCTGCTCAGAAACCTTCCCTTGCCCACTTTTGTCCCGGGACAGTTTCTCCCTCCCCTGCTCCATCAGCCTTTGAAGGGACCATGCAAGCTGCCCCTCGGTCCCTCCACAGATCCACATCTCATCACAGCAGCTCTGCCATCGCTGCTCGCATGAGCTCCCACCCCAGCTAAAGCTCCCCGCACTCATTCTTCTTCTTTTGCAATTTCTTCCACGACCAAGCCTCTTGGCAGGTCGTGCAGCTGGGGAGAGGGCTTTGGGACTCTGGACCCCCTTGGTGTCCCCCCCAAGAAAAGAGAGAGGGGAGCAGGGCCAGCCAGCCGTGCTGGCGATGCTTTTTGGTGGTCCCTGTGCCTGAAGTGCGTGGACACACTGCCATCTCGTGGGGCAGCGCCCGATCGCGACCACGGCTTCGTTGGCCAGAGAAACATCGTCCCGACAAGAAGGGCTTCCCCTGGGACGGCTCTGCCAAACAGCCCAGCAGTTTGGCAGACAGGACCAGCTCCTGCGAGTTATCATAATGTTTTTTTCTGTGTCAGGTGAGCACGTTTGGGTTAGAAAATGACTGCAGGCTTTGTATCCTCCAGTTGTCGCTACTTTTTTAAAGTGCTTAGCCTTTTGGTTGTCCACCCTCGGTTGCGTGCTGGAGCAGTTTTGCTGCTCTTCACACCATCTCTTCGTTACATGTTGATTGCTAGTGATATAAATAATATATATATATTATAAATATATATAAAATATCTACTGACTTCGAGAAAAACCTTTGATTTCTGAGTTAGAGACACTATTGGAGGCAGTCCTTTTCACCTGATTTTCTTCAGTTCTTCTTGTGTTGTGTTCTTGTAAAGGTGGCAGTCAGTGTATAGGGTAAGTTTGGGTTTGTTTTTTTGTTTTGTTTTGTTTAAAAAAAAAGCAATCACAGGCAATCCATTGTATCACACCGAACAGTGCAAGACCTACGTACTGTTTTAATGACTCCTGAAAGTTTTAAGGCAGTGAGGGTCTCTTGTGTCAAGATTTGCTTCCATGGGAGACTAAGACTCTTTTCTGAATCGCTGACAGAAATGCAGACACTCATGAGACATGTTGGAGTCTGGGATGCGCACAGAGCAAAACATGTCTGTTACTTGGGTTTCTTGCTATTTCTGTTGCTTACATATAGAATAAATGTATTTACATGCTGTAAGCCCGTCATTGTGGACAGTGTCCTAATGTCTCGTATTGCTACCTAAAATAGTTTCTTTTGGGTTCTCCTTTTCTTCTTGTTTTGGGGGGTGGGGTGGAATGGGGCAGGGAGGGGCGGGGGGACCTTTAGACCATTGTATGCTCTAGCCAAGTAGGTACCGCAGCCCTGAGGTTAATTTTAAACAAGATGATACTGTTGATTTTTTTTGCTCCCGTGGCCAGGGCACTTTGTCAACTATCTTACTGTTGTCAACTGTTCAGAAGTCCTTTCAAGTATCACTCTGGCTCTCATCTGGCCCCAGAGTGACTAATTGTTTGCAGGCTGGCTTGCTTAATATCAGGTGGTGCAGAGATGAAAACCAAACCTTTGGCCCTTCTCCCACAAGGGCTCCAACAAGGTATTGACTTTGGAGTCACCACCACAATCCATTCCTAGCTTGTGTGTTAAAGCTTGAGTTCATAAATTTAGCTGCACTGCAGGTTTTTAAATGCTGAAGCATGTATCTTTGACATTCTTTGTCGTGGGATTCTCAGAGAAATGCAAAGAAGTGTGTGTATGTGTATAATATATATACATACAGAGAGAAGAGAAAATAAAGGACACCTACTGCTGGAGGCTTTTAGCTCTGATGTGGGTCGTGGGCATCCTCTTATGAACTCCTTTTTCTTGTGAAGGTGAAAATTCAGTGCGGTATCATCACTGCAAAGTCATTTAGGCAGTGCTGTAAGAGCCAACAGTGTGAAAACTGGCAAAGAAATAGAGTTGGATTTGAATCAAAGCCACAGAAATGAGCCCTCAAGTTTGGTAGGTCAAGCTCCTTGCTTGAAAGAGGATCATGCAGTTTATTTACTTACTTGTCCTTTAAGCTTGGCACCTGTTCCCTGAAATCTGAAAAATCCCTTTATCTGGAAGTCCTTAGATAAGCTCCGACTGTACAAAAAAGCAATGATAATTCAGAGTTCCCACTAACCTCTATCACTGAATAGGTATTTCACATTTTCCGTGATGCTGGTTAAATGTATTTAATAGTGGTTTAGTCCCCTCGGATGTTTATAAAGAAACTAATTGTTGTGTGCACTGTACCCAAGGCCTTTTCTCCACGAGCATCCCGTAGCCATGGCAGGCAAGTAGCTTCTGGAAGGCCGTGAAGAAGCAGGATGTCACGTGTAATCATGCAGGGACATCCCGCAGTGGTGAGGTGCTTCTCTGAGGGCTCACGCACTGGTCTCCAGCTGCTGGCTTGCAGCTGGTGGGACAATAGCCCATAGATGAGAAAAGCTTGCACGGCTTCTTTGGTTGCTGCCAGCTGGCTCTTGCTACAGCTTGCCAGTAAATTTTGAGAGCTTAAACAATAGGAATAAAAAGCAAAATCAGTCTGGAAAGTAAACAAAATTAGAAAGAAAGAGGAGCAAAACGGTCTTCTCCCATTGATCTTGCAAAAACACCCCCAAAGAGTCCATACCCTACTTCTAAGCAGGGTGCGTAACACAGTTGAGAAGTTATGGCATTAGCATTTCAGTACACCTGTGTGGTCAACTCGTTTGCTAACATATGTTCTGTCTGTTAACGTTGAAGAGTACAACGACTATACTTTTGGTACCTTTCTAAAGCATGGAAGGAGGGCCCATAACAAATACCAAGCCTGTGCGGCCCAGGCCGAGATGTATTACGTTTCTCCCTCCTGTTCACGTCTCTCAGCTTTGCAGCTCTGCCAGGGTTTGTGGGATTTGTTTTCTTTGCTACTCAGACATGGAGAACTATTTTGGTTTTGATTTCCCTATTGCTGTATCTTCTATGCAACTCCTTTTCTAAAGACTTACTACCAGAGAAGTGCTAGCCATTGCATTATTTGTATTGCTGTACAGTGGAGGTGTGGTTTACTAGTTCTGAGTGTGCCTCTTACCCCCCTCCCTTTTTCTCCTTCCCTCTGTTTGTAAATGCCTGCATTTATTCTGTCAGCCTGACATGTACAAAGTGTAAGAAAGAATTTTTAAACAGGTAATAAATTATATTTATAAGCAACTGGAAAAAAAAATACACCACTACCTTGTGTTCAATTGTTTAGTTCCTGGAAGCTTGGAAGGAATGAGGAGCCTTTTATTTAGTTTATTTATTTAAAAAAAAAAAAAATCTGCTCAAAAGAAGTGCTTCTGTGCATAAAACGTCTTTGTGATGCAGTCTTTCTTGTAACATGCTGTTCAGGACAACAACTCTCAACTCAAGCCAATCTTCCCATGCAAAACAGACTGAGACCCAGGGAGGAACCACCCCAGGTACTGTTCTTGGCGTTTTCATTTCATTGCCACAGTGAAAGGTGAAGAAAAGCAACAGACAGGAAAACACGGCCTCAGGTGCTGAGCTGGCTGCCTGGTGAGCCCAACACTGCCCTCCCCACCTCCAGCCCTTTGGTTACAGATGGGAGAAGCCCAGCATGAAGGCAGCAGCCCAGGAGGCAAACTCAAACCAGTGTGGGTGCTTCTGTCTAGTGGACACCTGCTCATGTCCAAGTTAGACGGTTATAATGGCCAAATACTGATTTTCATCCTTCTCACACCCACTATCAGAGATGGTTGTTTCTCACCAGCCTTGTTAGACATGCTGTGCTCAGTATTAAATTGTATAAATTTGTAAGAGACGATTCCTAGCACAGCCACATGGCTGCTCCTCCATGGGGTGGCAGTGGGGAAATGGTCCTTGCTTGCCACCAGCCCCTCGGTGATGTGTGAGCCATGGGCTGAGGAGCTTACCTTGCCCACAACAGGGGTGATATAGGGGTCTATGTGCAAGAGCAAAACACAGATAACAGCCCAAAAAGCTGGGAAGTTGTCAATCAGCATATGAGCCAGGCCCTGCAGGCCAGCTGGAATAGGCCACACCTTTAATATAACCAGCCTCCCTTGTGCTTGGGTTACAGAAAGCTTTTCCTGGGGTTTAAGGTGTCTTTATTTATTCATCTTTCCTCCTGTAGACATTGCTACTGTGATCTCCAGTGGCCACGTGCCAAGTGCTGGGGCTGCTCTGCCTGTGTGGGACACCGCTGGGCTGTTCAGCAGACCTCAGCAAAGCCCGTCACCACAAGGCCACCCGTGGGGGATGGCTCCTCCATTTCCCCAGCTTCTCTGTGACAAGTGGGATGTGGGCAATCCGCCCACTGGCTCCTTCAGTTTGTTTGCACGGAGCCTGCAGTAACTCTGCGGGAGGCTGGGTGCAGCCCTGGCTCGCGTGGTTGCCCTTGCAGCGATCGGGGCCGGAGCTGGAGCCTGGCAGCACCAGCCTGTTATGGAGCCAAAGCCCAACACTGACTGCAGGCAAAGCACAGTGAGGACAGCACAAGCTCCAGTGACGTGTTTGCTCTGTCCAAAAGCCGCTGGACCTTTGGCAGTGTGGGAGGAGAACTGTTCACCCTTCTCTTTTAATCTTTCGATTATCCTCTCTGCCACAGGAAGAGGTAGATTACATGTGACAGGACGTGCGGCCATGACATCAAAGGATCTGTATCCTAAGGGGCATGGGGAATAACTTCTGTGGTAATTCTGGCTAAAGAAAGCTGAGCTGCAGGCAGGGCTTATTTCTGTGAAATGAAGATGCCTGCTTTGGATACCAGTCACTGCCTGTATATTTCATGGTGTCTGACAGATTTCTCTTCCAGTTTTCCCTTTGCATGTTTAGCTGTTACAGAAGACAAGTGCCTTGCCTTTCATCCCACTATTCCTGTCCTGTCTGTGCGTACTACTGAGCTTGAATTTTCCTGTGGTTTTTGACATCCCTGCAGATTGTATCTGCTGCAGCTTGCAGTCTCTGCACTGTCCAAGCTGTTTCTTCCTTATCTAGAGGGATTTTTCCTCGAGGTACCTCATCTCTTAGTATTTTTCTTGAGACTCCTGGAAGGTCTGTTCTTGGTGTTTCTGTATGTGAAGGTGGGACTGCACCTCTCCTTACCATGTAGCAAAAGGCACAAGGAAGCTGAGCTCCAGTTTTGGCTGGGGACCGTAGCATGACTCTGTCAACCATGAATAAAAACAGGACAGTCCCAGCAACACCTGCAGCTGAAGAAGATTTAAGCACAAATACAGGCTGGGTGGAGAATGGATAGAGAACAGCCCTGAGGAGAAGGACCTGGGGGTGAAGGTTGATGAGAAGCTCAACATGAGCTGGCAATGTGCACTTTTAGCTCAGAAAGCCAACCATATCCTGGGCTGCATCAAAAAAAGTGTGGCCTGCAGGGCGAGGGAGGTGATCCTCCTTCTCTACTCAGAGCCTCCTGGAGGGCTGCGAGTCCAGAGGAGGGCCACGAGGATGATCAGAAGGTTGAAGCACCTCTCCGATGAAGAAAGGCTGAGGGAGCTGGGGTTGTTCAGCCTGAAGAAGAGAAGGCTCTGAGGAAGCCTTGCAGTACCTAAATGGGGCCTCCAGGGAAGCTGGGGAGGGACTCTGTCAGGGATATACATGGAGGGCTAGCACAAGGGGGAATGGTTTTAAACTAAAAAAGGGTAGACTTAGGTTAGATATAAGGAAGAAAATCTTTACTCTGAGGGTGGTGAGGCCCTGGCACAGGTTGCCCAGAGAAGCTGTGGATGCCCCATCCCTGGAAGTGTTCAAGGCCAGGCTGGATGGGGCTTTGGGCAACGTGGCCTAATGGGAGGTGTCCCTGCTCATGGCAGGGTTTGGAAGTAGCTGATCTTTATGGTTCTTTCCAACCCAAACCATTCTGTGATTCTATGAAAATACAAGTATTTAAGACCAAAGTTAAATAATAGCCAGACACCTAGCAAAGAGGAGGGAAAATAGGAACAGTCTAGTACTGCCCCAGAAAGCCAAACCTAGAAAATATCAAGACCCAGAGGCAGAGCTGTTAGGGAAAGGCAGAGACAAATGGAGGTGACACAACACATCACAGGGACCATATAATGTCAGCAGAGCCTGCTGTACCACCACAGGACAAGGTGCAGTCATAGGCGAAAGGCAGCTCACCAAGAAAAATGCTGTTTACAGGCTTCTCTGAAAATTACTGGCAAGGTGATACACGCTCATAAACACTGAGCTACATGATACGTGCTGAAATGTGGCAGTGCAGAAGGAGAAGAGAGTGCAGGAAGTAAATATATATACAGATATGTATATGAATGTATAGATACATGTACTCTAATGCCTCTAAGCATTAAGGATTGCCATGTTTCAGCTGATGCAGTATATGTAAGCTGCAACTTTTTTTAATTTTATTTTTTTCTGAAGCACAAGGCTGGAAAATCGAGCATCAGTCAGTGCACAGATTACCTTCTGTGCCTCTTGTGCTATTAAAAATAGTAGTGATAATTCATAAATACATAGGGGAAAGAAGGAATAGGGGGGGCTCACAAAAATATTATTCAAATGCCAAATTTCTATAGATTTACATAATCAGCCACAAAATGCAAGCAACTGCTCAATTAGTGATAACACTATTTTAATTACTATTTCTCTCTTCACTGAGTTGTGAAAGGAGTGATGCTTTTTTCTTTTTTTTTTTTTTTTTAAATGCCAGTGGAAACACACACAGCATCTGTTTACTTGTTTGTTCAAAAGGCAAACCTTAGAGAAATAAAAAATAAATAAATAAAATGTGCCATGGTCGAAATAATCTAACCAGTGAAATGAAACCCAAAGGTAGTGCTTTTCAAATATATGAAAAGTAAACAGAAATAAAAGCAATATTCTTCATGGGGGGATGGAAACAATTTTATTTGGGGGAATGTTAAAACAACCATATACAATTTGAACAAATACAATAGAACAGTTTGCTCCCCAAGTTTTCTAATTACAGTATTTACAGGTTTAATAAGGCACTGGTTCTCAAAAAAGAACACCAAGTAGTTTCTTAGTCTATATATCATCAACCTTTTCTTTAATAGAAATAACTTTGTGCTAGAGAAAGGATAGCAGTTGCTAGATGGCATCTCTCTTCCTCTTTTTTTTTTTTCTTTTTTTTTTCTTTTTTACTTTTTCTCCCACTTAGCTATGCCATCTTAACTATATTCCAATAAGTCACTAAACTTCCATCAGTGATTTACATTGGAAAACTGGATTTCCAAACCTGTGGGCACTGAAACTATGGTTATCTTCACCACTGATTTCAAAGCCCAAATTAAAACGTACTGTGAAACTACCAAAATCTGGAAGTGACATTAAAAGGCTACAGAGGTGGTAAAATAACTGTACTAATATGTAGTCACTAGACATGTTCAAACTGAAATAATTTCATTTGGAGTGTTGCGTAAAGTCAGCCATGCAGCTGGCAACTGAAATGTCACTGTGCTAAAAGAAATGACTTTGAAGCTTGCCTCAGGCCATTTTCTGGCCTTAGGAATATCATTTTACAGTATCATTGATTATAGTGGGCAGAAGATTTGAGAGGGAAATCTCACCTTTTGAGTCTAGGGAGAAAATAGGCAGGCACTACTTACATAACTGCAGAACCCCTGCTTTCTCAGATGTGTGTCTTCTCATATATATATATATTTATTTTCCTATATAGCACCGTTGCAGTGATTTGTCAGTTATGCATTTTCATAAATAAATATTATGTTTTATTTAGTGCTTTATCGTCCATAATAGTTTACTCTTAATCCACATACTGGAGTTATTCCAGACTCCCAACTGAATATATATATATTTTATATATATATATAAAAACACATAAACTTGAACACTTAACATATACACTTTATGTAACCTATCAACCAGTATCGTAGATCCGTTTCTCTTGGACTGAAAAAAATAAGACTTATTTAGAAAAAACAGCGACTGGACCTTCTCTCACAGCACACTGACAGCACGTGCTGGGGGCCTGGAGGGGCAGCGCATCTAGCAAACCATTGGCAGGAACCATCACCAGGCAGCAAAACCCCCACCAAAACACTTCCAGGGAAATAAATGATAACTAAAAATGTTAAAAAGAAATCTATTTGAGGAAAACAGATGTGAAACATAATGCAGCAGGAGAAAGGCATCCTTCTGTGTGACCTGCAGGGACTGGGCTCAGAGGTGCCTT